ACATGACCCTAAGAGATGCTGTCTGAGGCAACAGCCTCATTATAGGCACAGCCTTGAACAGGATCAATATGCCTATCATCTTTCGCTAACTATTTTGAGTATATATGGTATAGATCCTTCTCATCCTTCTGCATCTTTGTATTTTTTTATTGGAATTCAATTAAAACCTACGTGTGAAAATGTAATGTACAGTGACTTGTAATATCTGGTGTTTTTACTTTACACTCTGACATTAAACTTCACCCCCATCAAACTCCTGCAGGTGTTTTCTGAAACCCTTGTAGAAGGATCATTTTATCTATGCGCAGTCACCTCGTGAAGCATGAACTCCGAGCTGCACTCCAAGTGAAATTCCCTGAAGGGCTCTTGAAAATTGTATTTAGAGAACTCGGGTTTTACACACTGTGATTATTTTCTTTGACTGACACTTTCCATCATTACTCTCCAGGGATTTTCTGTTAACATGGTCACTTGCAGACACTTCATAAAAGAGCTATAAATCTGAAGCATTGAAAGAACAGGGCTCCGCTCTGTGAGATTAGGTCACTTCGAGCTGACATCTCATTCCAGGTGAAGGCTGACTGGGTGACCCATTAGTCAGGCTAATCCGGGTGAGCCACATGACGGCTTTACCAAAACTTTCAAGGCGAGAGTAATAGTATATAAAACCTAAAGAGAAAGAGGTTTACAGAAATGTTTTAAATAAACATAATAATAAAGGTGCAGCCTAAGGTATAACTACAGGTGGTACACGGGGTAACCATAAAGGTATCTGGTCATTTCTGTTTTATTTTCTTCAGTGGTAACAAGGTTGCTAAAGAAGGTTAAGAAAATTGGGCTTTCTAATAAGAAAGACTGGAGTCAAGGGGAGTGTCCCCTCTTTGATTTATTCAGCCATGCATGTGTAATTTGATATCGTGCTTCAGGTAATTCATAACACAGGCTGTGCACAGCACGGCTGTAAATTACTCTGTAGAACCAATGTACAGTAGCCTTAAGTGCCCCACTTGCTGATTTATACTGGCAAATATTCCTATGCAATATTTTATATTTAAAGGACAACTCTGAGGTGAGTGATTCTCACTCAACCTCATAGTTTGAGCTGACCTGTGACAATGAAACTGTCACAGGTCGGCTCTATAGATCGGGAAGTGAGCAAACGCATACTCGCTCACTTTTCGATCATCTCCCTGCAGAGAGCGGTGACTGTCAGTCTCCGTTCCTTGCAGTGATTCCCCCTCCCCGCTCCGATCCTCCACCGCTGACTGGAGGAATGGACGGGGTAGGGGGCGGGCACAGCTGGATCTGCCTCTAGATAGGCAGAGCCAGCTGTCACACTCACGCAGCTGGGTGGATCTCAACGGTATTATCCGGATCCGTCCCGGCTGCGGCGCTCTCGGTATATAGTGAGCAATAGCCTGCTATATACTGAGCTTTGGGTCATGGGAGGACATTAGTATATGTCCCTCCATGACCCTTAAGAGTACTATGGGATAAAAAGGTTACCCCGTAGTTCTCTATTAACTGTGGAAAAAAAACAAAAACTTCTTGTTAGACCTCTCTCTTCTTGAATCCTTTGTCCCCTAATAAACGAGAAAGGAAATAGGATTTTTGTACTTACTGTAAAATCCCTTTCTTGGCGTTCATTAAGGGACGCAGGTCCCATCCCTCTATGTTTGTGATCTACTCCTAGTATTGCTGTTCTACAAACTGTGGCGTTCTGGCATGAGAGGGGTTATACTAGGCTGGTCACTGTTTTTTGTTGCCAGTGTCCAAGCCCTCATTTAGGTGGCAGTATAACCCGTTTTGTCTTTGGATCCTGTGTCCCTTAATAAACTGCAAAATACAGATTTTACAGTAAGTACAAAGATCCTATTTTGCCTTGACAATTGTAGACATCAATGTATACTCTGGACTGTTATATCTCCTTGTGATTCTTTCTAAATAAAAAAAAAAATACTATTTAATAATGTAAAATAAACAATTAAACGGCAAAAAGCATTGACCAGGAAGATACACCTGCAGTAAATATTTGGGTAATGTCACATTCACTGATTTATAAATATGCCCAGTGTCCCATTTTTATTTACCATTCATTTTCCTAAAACTTCTGTTTAACCTCTTTGCCTCCAGATCAATTTTTATTTTTATTGCACACATGTTAGAATATGTATTTGGGCTGATGACCTAAAACTGTCAAAGTATTATGGGGGGGAATTTATCAAAACTGGAGCAGACAAAATCTGGAGCAGTTGCCCATAGTAACCAATCAGCTTCTCTCTTTTCATTTTGTTCTGTTAAGCTTCTCAAAGCTTTGTTAAGCTTTGAGAAGCTGATTGGTTGCCGTGGGTAACTGCTCCAGATTATGCCTGCTCCAGTTTTGATAAATTACCCCCCTGTATATTTTCTGGAAGCAAAGGCCTTGTAAAACAAAACGTTGGTTGCATTTTTTTATGTCAAGTAATATTTTTGCAACTGTTTATCACTTCTCTATGTTCAATAAAAAGTACACTAAATGGATTTTTGTGCACATAAACACAATATAATTCCCACTTTTTTTGTACAAAATGAAAGATGAGGTTGTTTCAAGTAAACAAATCCCAAATATGTGAATTCCCGAAACTGTGTGTCCCCAAATTATTAATAGGTAATGCTTTAAATGTCTTTACAGCTCATCAGTTTAAAGTTAACCATAAATAAATAACCTATAATTATTTTTATTATTAACCCCTTCGTGACTGACGACGTACAGTGTAACTAACTTTTATTGCTATCATGAGGGAGCTAATGCGATCCCCAATGTGATAGTATTGGGTAGGGGACAGGTACTCTTTATGAAGTGCTGGAGGATCGGAGGGGGAGTAAATCCCTGCAGGGAGCCGTGACTGACGGTCACCACTCTCTGCAGGGAGATGATCGAGAAGTGAGCGAGCGACGGTATGAGTTCGCTCACTTCCCGATCTAATGAGCCGATGTGTGACAGTTTCATAGGGATCTTGTCAGCTAAAGGAATAAGTGGGATACAGTGAATTCCCCACACTTTATCACTGGGGAGTACTGAAGGACTATACAGACCCAATGCCGATGGATGCTTTTATTACAGAACTACTTTTTTGTGTTTGTGAGTCTTTGATCTGATTTTGGATTATGACATTTGCCATCTGTCTTGACTATTAGTCTGAATTTTGATCTGGGATTTCCCTGCAAACTTGGTTTTTGTGTTTTTGGACTCTAGCCTGTCTACAGGCAGTATATATAACACCTCTTGGTTTAAGCTCAGACATTGAAAGAAGTGAAGTAGCAGCTATGATTGATATTATCTAGACAAGAACTGATACATTTTAAACATGACTTTAAATATTTGTACATGTTTGAACATAAGCTCAAAATTGTTGCTGGCATTTTCACCTCCAAACCTAAATTCCATAATTTTGTTTGATTTCCTCTTGGCATTCTTTCTAAAACTTATCCAGGCAGCCATTACCTGGCCTCAACATCTCCATGACTTATAATACTTTACCCGGCTTGTCCTTATAACCAGCTCACTGGTTTAGTCATTTATCATTCTCTACAATGTGAATACGTTTTGGACCCATTAGCATTATATGTCATGTGTTGTGTTGAGGGGGTTAAAGGATCGAAGGTAACCTTTGTAGCTTTAATGATAAATTATAGGGCAAATCATTGCAATCTTTAAAGACACAAGGGCTCTTTGTTAAGCAGATTGCAGTGAAACGAAACTCTGCTTCTAACCTTAAAGGAGAACTATGAGGTGAGTGAAAATCACTCATCCTCACAGTTCGAGCCGATGTGTGACAATGAAACTGTCACAAACAGCATTGCTGGGATCCATCCCGGCTGCGGCAGTCTCAGTATACCGCGAGTTGTAGCTTGCTATATACTGAGCTTTGGGTCACGGGAGGAGGTTAGTATATGTCCTCCTGTGAACCTTAAGAGAACTATGGGGAAAAACCCTTCCCCAGTAGTTCTCTTTTAACTGTGTTGCAATGCTCCAGCTGTCTATCACTAATCTAACATGTTTAAGTGCATGTTAATCCTAACAATTAAAACGTATCTAAAGGATATTTTTTCATCCTGATGGGTTTAGAACTTTCCTATACTCAGCACAATCTAGGGGTGCCAGTGCCATGCAAATGGCATCCACCCAGCATATAGTCCTCACTGGTTGCCTGGAGCTTAGCAAGACGCAAGCCTGATCATCCCACTCAGCTCTTGGCAACCGGTGACATCAGTGGGCTGTGCGTGATGCCAGGCAGAGCGTTACAGGTTGTGAAGAGCTCTTATTAACCTTGGATGCTGTGGCCTCCTCCTGCCGTCCAGCCCCCCAATTTTTGGCAAGCATTTGTAAAGTTTTTGTGAAGCAACTTTGTTGAAGCCGTTAAAGCAACCTTCAGCTCCAGCAGAATTTTAGACACAGATCTCAATGGGAGTTCAATGGGACTGTCACTTTAAACAAGCTGCTAGCAGGCTTCCAATAAACTTCAAGTGGTGTTGAAGCTTACTGAAGGCTGCTAGCAGCCTGTCTGCAGTCCCATTAGGATCTTTGGATAACATTCCAAAACTGGAGCTAAAGGGTGCTATAAGGGTTTCAACAAAGCTTTCCAAAGGCTCTGCAAATAGTCGTAAAACCTTGCTGTTCAGACTGCTCGCATACAAGATGAAGCCTATGTGAACTAGGCCTCACATAAAAAACATTGATTTGTGGCAGCCCTGAAGTCAATTTTTGTTGAACAAAGAGGTGGCACTCGGAAAACAAGCAACATTCTCATATTTATTGATACCTTTAGGGCAGGTTTTCTTGCAGTGCTGATAAATTGAAGTTGACTACCGATGGCAAATTCCCATTCAATTGTATTATATGGTTTATGTTTATAGGAGAGCAATGGGTGTAACACGTGGCAGGAGCTGGAAGGTGTCAGAGAAGAATGTGAGTCACTGCAGCAAACACTGAATGCCATAACTCAGGTATGTAGATTCTCTCTAATGGACCGATATAAATATGCTTCTTACAAAATGATAGCTTATTGCCTGCATTGTGGTTCTTGCCTGTGGGCATATTTGTGGATGTGTGCCAATGTATCAGAACTATTATTACTGAATGCACCAGCATAACGACTGGAGTACATTGTTTTTTTCTGTTGTATTTCTTGGATAAAGCCTGATTTTCCTCATCTGCTTCCGTCACAGCCGATCATTGCCTCCCCTTGCCAAGATCTTCCCTTTCATGCCCCATATTTTATCCACTAATTATGACCCCTGTCAGGGGCGTAACTAGAAATCACAGGGCCCCATAGCAAACTTTTGTATGGGGCCCTGTGATTTCTAGTTATGTCCCTTGCAGAGGCCACCTGATAGCTCTGCAGGGTCTCCGGTGGGCTGCACACCTCTTACCTGTCAGCGCGGTCCGCCTCCGTGGTCGCCAGGCCCCGCCTCCTCTTCCGCCCCGGGCCCCGCCTCCTCTTTGATCGTCTGGCCCTGTCTTCTACTCCATCGATGGGCCCCGCCTTCTCTTACGTTGCCGGGCCGGGCTCCACCTCCTCCACTGCAAACGGGTCCAGCCTCTTCTGCAGAAGCTGCTGGCTGTCACTGACACAACTTAGTAGCGGCTGGGAGGCAGAACGCGCAACTGCAGACATCACTGACTGGTTGTCAGTGATCTAACAGCGGCGCGTTCTGCCTCCCAGCCACAAGTGACAGCCAGCGCACTGATATGCCATAGCGACCCAGGCGTCCCGCACGTCATCAGAGAGATGCCCTGGCCAGGCCCCCCTGTGTGAGCGGGCCCCATAGTGGCCCGGCTGGGTCGCTATGGCGATTATTACGCCACTGACCCCTGTGGCACCCTGGAGTGCTCATTTTGATGGTTCCCTTCAGGTAAGGAGGAATCACTCCAGACCTCTAGAGTGGTCTCACTCAAATTTTTGGAGGAATAAAGTCCTTTACTTATATTATGTTTTTCTACTTTTTAAATAAGGGTGGAGAAACCTTGCAATTCTAATCATTCTTCTTACATCTGGACCATGCTTCTTCACTTCAGTTTATAGTTTGTTTTTTAATCTAAAGTGCAACTGAAGTCACAGAAATAGATACGTAACCAGATAGACATTATACTACTAACCTCCACGCGCTGTGTGTGCCAGTCGCTCCAGGTGGATCACACGGTTTCCCGCCGTGACTCCGCCCATGCTTCCGAACACTAAAACAGCCGTGCGTCGTGTATCGCAAAAAAAAGGTACATTGCCGCGCAGATGTCACCCCATTGAAACCAATGGGGCCGCGCAGCAATCGCTGCCTGTAATGTGCAGGACTGCACGATCCCGGGACGCGCGATCCCGGATTGCGGAGGTCTGCACCGGGCCTGAATTGTTGAATGTCTTCCCGTTAAACACAATAAAGCTAGCAACATTTTATACAGCATAGCAAAAGTGAATGAAATGTTAAAGTAGGATGTAAAATAAATGAATTTGCTGTTCCAGGTCCACATCCTTACAATATTTATGGCAGTCACTTTGACTTTCACTCCATTTTTTCCAAAATCAAATGTTAAAATCAAACTGAATTTCGAAAGACATTTATCAAGTCTCTGATTGCATTCATAAATGTTCTGATGAGGTTTCTGGTATGAATGTTTGAGCAAAAATCTACCAGTATATGGCCTGCTTTACACTATAGACCATTGTGCTGTTTGTTATTCTAGATATGTCAGGCAGATAGTATGAGCCCTGATATGGACAGTTCAGCGAGCACAGGAGGTGATGATCTTAGACGTGCTGCTTCTCCATCCAGTAAGAGATCTCCCAGCCGAGGCAGTTCCCCATACAGACAAGATGCAGCTGCTAGAATGGTTCAGAATACCCTGCACAGGCACGAGGAGAGAGAGAAGGTGAAATATTATGATGTTATATTTCATATTTACATTATATCTCATATTTATTATACAACTATGACAGTCATCATAATCTATGAATTGACATTATAATCCATTGATTAACATTTTTATGAACTGCATACACAAGCTTGTGCTTATAATGTATTGTGAATGTAATTGAATAAAATATAAAATTCAGATTTCCCAGCAGATGTCTTCCATTGTATAAGTCAGCTTTCTGCCAATACTAATTTGTATTTTTTATAACATGAGTTCCTGCCCCTTTCCCGGAATCCCTGCACCTGTATAAAACTTTGCTTTGATGTTGCTGTCAGACCCATTGACAACAATCTGAATCTTTCATGAAGGCACCACAATTTTTCTTGGCTTTGGAACACATGGTCCCAGACACACAGAATCCACAGCCTGTCTATACATACTATACCACTCACTGTACTTGTTCTTGGGCAGGAGCTTCTGGCTGAACTTAAACTGGCACAGCAGTTAGTGGAGGATACTAAGAAGCAGCTGCTGGATAGTCTGCAGGAGGCTGAGAGGCGAGGATTGGAGCTCAAGAGAGAGAAGGATGAGATTAGTAACTTGCTGGAGAGAGTAAAACAAGAATCTCAGAGATGTCAGGCCACCCTGGACTCCCTGAACAGGTAAACTACAATTGGTGTGCAGATCCATGAGCCTCTTATTATATTCTTGTCAAAAACTTTTACCAAAAAATATTCCATCCATTGATTATATATTATGCATCCTGCTGTTTGATTTCTACACTTTCTCCTTTTGATAGCTAAAGATGCTGAAAGTGGTATGAAATTAGTACAGAGATGCTGAAAGTGGTATGAAACTAGTACAGTGATGTGTCAGAATTGTATTTATTACAGGTATTTATATAGTGCTGTCAATTTACACAGTGCTTTACATACTACTCATTCACATGAGTCTGTGCCCTCGAAGAGCTTACAATCTCATATGCACACATATTAGGGCCAGTTTAGATAGAAGCCAAATAACCTACATGTCTTTGGAGTGTGGGAGGAAACCCACACAAAGACAGGGAGAACATGCAAACTCCATGCTGTTAATGTCCTGGCTGAACGTGGATTCAGTGAAGTGGCTCAGTGCTGCAAGGCAGAAGCGCCAACCACTAAACCATGTTATCGTGTAATCTTTTACTGCTAACGTTAAATGCTGCATAAATGGAATGTGCCATCACAGTTTTACACAGTAGAGTGTCCTTGCTGTGCAGTTTTTCCTTTTACATTGTACCCTATAGGATTTAATCTTTTAGGTGGGCATTGAGTGTGCTGGACTTTTCTCCCTTTTCCTCTAAGGCAGGGGTGGGCAATTCTTGCCCTCCAGCTATTGTTGAACTACAAGTCCTATGAGGCATTGCAAGACTGGCAGTTACAGACATGACTCCCAGAGGTAGAAGCATAATGGGATTTGTAGTTAAAGCACAGTTGGAGGGCAAGAGTATATCACCACAGCTCTAAGATAAAGGGAAGAACAGAAAGGTTTCCCACCATATACTTTAGTTAACTGTTGGCCTCCTCTTGCTATCAGTAAATTATGCTTACATGACTGACAGTTCTAATCTAAATAGGTAAACAAAACTGCAGTTTTATTCTGATTGTTATATGACAATCCTAAAGCAACATTTTGTGAGAGGAACATGTGCAGCAAAAATGTGGGTGAAGAGCTATCTGAAATTCAAGTAAACCAGCACTCACTACAAATTCACTGAACTAAACTAACCCGCAGCTTTGTAGAAGGCACTGTAAGACTGTTATTCTCCTTGATAAATAAACACAATGAATGAATTGACAGTGGCAGATGTCAGAATTCTACTTTACTGTTACATTTCAAGTCTTTGAACCTGATAAATAAAAGTTGCGACAATAAAGATGGGTGTTGTGTTGCTTTGTTCTAAAGTTCACCCTAATGAAAAGATTTTTTTTCTTGTTACCGTACAAATTTTTATTTTTTCATCCCAACACTTAAAGGTGCACACTAATCATTTACAGGGTTATTCACAAAATCGTGTAGAGTTTGGAGAAGGCAGGAGAGGTGAACAATTTAGGACAACATAGCTCATTTGGAAATATTCTCCAGTTCAGCTCACTTTGCAGTTCAGCTATGTTGTCCTAGATTGTTCACTTCTCCTGCCTTCCCCAAACTCTTCACCCTTTTATGAATAACCCTGTTTGTTTTGGGTAGGGGATGACTTAGGGCACATAATGCATTGCATTATAATACCTTATTTAAGTCTACTGTATAGCTCCACCATCAGTCTAACCTTCCTATTCCCTGAGCATGCCTGTTAGGATTATTTATCAGACTTCGGACCAAAACTTTTTTGGGTCGGGAGAGAATCCCTAAAGGTTTGAACCTTTGTTTTGTAAATGTGCATCTGGATGAGAATTTCCCTCAATTCCATTCCTGATTAGCACAGAGTATGTAAGAAGAATGTCCCCACCGGGGACACAGCTATCAAAAACTAGCAGAGTTGCCAACCTTCATAAACACATTTTTATTGCCATTTGAAACCATATTTGAGACATTCTAGCAAATACCTGGTACACTCTGAGTTGATAAGGGGGCTCTAATACAGGAAAAAAATACAACCTCCATACGGTTAGTATCCTTGGTGGTAATATAACCCAAAACCCTAATTTTGCAAGGTAACAAGGTACATTTTTAAAAATTCTGACCAGTTAGTGAGTATTTTGCTATAAAAGTATTGGTTTTTTTGCTTATATAGAGAGAAGGAAACAGTAGAGGAATCCCTAAAGACAGCTAAGCAGCGGGCTGAGGCCTCACTCCTGGAGTTTGAAAGACTAAAGGCAGTGAATGCAGAGTTATTGCGCCAAAGGGATATCCTGGAGGAGCAGAAGGAGGATCTGAACAGAGACCGAGAACGCAGCCAGAAAGAGCTGGAGAGAGGGTGAGAAAAAGAGAGCTGCATTTTTATGTCATGCGTGCACAATTCAGATGACAGCTTGTGTAATATGCTTGGTTCATTTATGCAACAAGATAGAAGGATATTATATCTACAAATGCCAGATGAGCATATACTGTATGTAGTTCAGGATGATGGGTTTTTTACAATGCATCCTCTTCTGGGATACTTGGGAATTCCACATTGGTGTCAGTAGCACTATAATATATGAAAGATTGCCCAAAGTTTTTATAGAGGATAATTAATCATTTGGATCAGGTCCTGAAATTTTTATGTAAGCTATATCAGTGTGTTTCTTGATTTATCTTATATGGTCTCTGAGGACATTGTATAGCAAGCCTCAAACCAAATGTTAGGTTTAGGTGCATTGCTCTTCCTGCTGCCATTAAAACAATAACAGTTACTTCCCTAAAAAATATTACCCACTTGCTGGTATGGATTTTTGACCAGCCCCATGACACATTTACTTTTTCAGCACTGCATATGCTGTGTGAAGCAGGGGCACCAATTGATTAGGAAGAGGCAGCCAATCAGTGCTGCAGTCTCACATAAAACCTGTCCTGGATCATGGCTAAGAAATAGGAATGCCAGAGGACCAATAGCACAGGAAGAGAGCCAATGTCAGTGAGTGGGTAGGATATGCATGGTTGTAAAGGTTGCTGCTTTCATAACAACGGCAAGGGAAAGTGATAAACCTCATGTCAAGTTTTGACTTTATGTCCAGTATATTATTATCACTGCCTAGCCAGTTATAGATAAACCAAGATGTAGGAGCAAACATTTTAGAAGGCTGTAGGTGCCACATAACAAATTAATTCTTGACATATGCTAAAAGTGTATATAAACCCTAAATCTATTCTTCGGCATGTTTGCCATCATGACTCATTGTATACAGTTTTCCTAAGCAAATGTTTTTTGGGACTCTGTTGAATGTTTCTTACCTGGAGATCCTGCCAGTAACTGTACTTCTAGTCTTGCAATTAGCATTTTTGTCAGTCTTTCGTATACACACCTTCAGTTGGCCAACTGAAGGAGCTCAGCCTGCAACTGGAATTGCTAAAACTGGCAGGATCTCCAGGTAAAACATTTTGCAATAAAGTCACAAAAAAATGCTTAAGTAAACTGTGTACAGTCAGGCATGATGCCAGACTGAAAAATAGATTTTCGGTTTACATACACTTTAAGCATATTGAATGTGTGAGTAAAGAAAGCTCCCATCTTGTGCACTCCCTATTGAGGAGGTATAATTATCACAGTACATACTGTAGAAGGCCTTCAAAAGTGGTCTGCCAATTTGATGACCATCTGAATTTAGCCAAAATTCTCTTGTGAAGAGTTGTGGCATTATAGACAGAAAGGTAGAGAGATGCTCAGGAGCAGATTTTGTTTTGTATTTTCTGGGGTGCACCATTTTAGTGTCAGTAACTGCTCAAGTACATCATAAAACATTAACTATCTATCTTCATGTCATAATAGGCAAAGAACCCAAGAGAAGTTGGAAGAGAAGGTATCGGTGTTGAAAAAAGACATGGTTACCGTCCGAGAAAATCTAAGCCAGGCAGTGCTTGAAAGAGATGTCCTTCAAGGAGAGAAGGATGCTGTCACCTGTGCACTTAGCAAGGTCTGTCTATGTGATTAATGGCTATCACTTGTCCTCCTCATTTCTTTCTGCAGGCTCCTGGTAGCAGTGGGTTATCTTCTGACTACACGGACTGGTTTTCTGCTCTGTTTATGTTGCTCAGAACAGTTCAAACCATTACAGTGAAAATCCCATCAGTTTATAATACACTTATAACTTAGAAGTATATCTGTTAGTACTACACATATAATGTAATCTGAGACCGTTTAAATGATAAAACCTTTGTGGCAATGTCAAATCAGTTATGATGAACCCCCATAAATCACAATCATGCTATTATTGAAAATGTATATTCTGCTTGTTAATCTGAGAAGAGTCTCTAGGACATGCCACATAGACAATCCAGCTTGGTCCAAGAACTCAGTGAGAGAGGGAAATATTGAATACTGATTAGTACAGTACACAGTGTCTCTGGTGTGAATTGTGTTTTTCTAACGTGGCTTTCCATGCCAGGCTGAATCAAGCAGAGCAGAGCTGGAAATGGCACTAAACCAAATGCGAAGTGAACAGGCAGCATTGAGTGACTCCCTGGCCAAGATGGGTGCTCTGAATGAAGGTTTAGCACGAGATAAGGTGGCTCTCAACCGTGTCATCTTACAGGTACTTTTGCTATATATATATATATATATATATGTATATATATTAATATTATTACAAGTATGTTTTTCCTTTCAAGTCTTGCAGTTATTTATTTATTCAGCCAGTGTAATTACCTAAAGCCTGTTCTGAGCACCAACTTGAACTTTCATTTTAAAACAAATGTGCAGGAGTAGTGCACACCAGTATATATCTGATGTGTGGAAGTGGAATGGTGGGCTTACAGAAGGGAGAAAACTCAGGGTGTCTGTGCTACAGAGTTCAGTGCAGTGGTCAAGGACAAGAACAGCCCCCATCACAGGTTTTAAATGTCTACTGGTGGGCCCTGTGCAGCAAATATTATTATTATTACACAGAATGTATATAGCGCCAACAGTTTGTGCAGCGCTTTACAATATAAGGAAGACATTACAAGACAAGATGGTAAGGAGGGCCCTGCCCCTGAGGGCAAGTAACACATTAATTTATTTATTCATTACAGGTATTTATATAGCGCTGACAATTTACGCAGCACTTTACATAGTTGCACATTTCACACCAGTCCCTGCCCTCAAGGAGCTTACTATCTAAGGTCACATGCATACATACAGGGCCAACTTAGACAGGAGCCAATTAACCTACTTATATATGATAGCATTTAAAAGAGTGGTAAAAACCAATTTTTTTTGGCTTAACTTCTCTTTTGAGTCATAGGAGTGCATTTTCTAATGCACTCCTATGACCCAAAGTCAGCTGATATCGGGTTTATGCAGAGGAGTGCTGTAGTCAAGAAGAATCCCGACAATATTGTGAGGATCCACCCTGGCTGCCTAAGGACCCATTCACACGGGGACTTATGCGGTATGAGTACATGCTGTTCAGGACAGATGATTGTCCCAGGACAATTTATTCCAAACCGCATGTAATCGTACCATGAATGATTACATGTGGACTGCCGCTGACAGATGTCATAGGTTCTCCCTGCAGAAATCCCAGAACGCTTCATGTGAATGCAGCCAAATGCCAGGTATACACATTTTGGCCAGTTCCTGATGAACCAGCTGAAATTCGCACCGTGGTCCTGCTGATCGAAGGAGGCGGATGGAAAATTCTCGGACGAACGTAGCTAGCAGCCATTTAGCTGCTAGCTCTGTTCGGGTATTCTGACAGCGGCTGGCAGCTGCTGTCAGAATACACTGCAAACAGCGGGGAATTTGTCCATCGTCGCTTGTACACATTGATGGAGGAATCTGTTCTTTATCATTTAGCCTAAGGGCTGAACGAAAAAAATAGACAAGTGTCAGCTGACGCTGACTCTCTGCATTCGGCTGAGAGCCAGGAACAGTTGTGCCCACTTCCTTCACTGTCTCTTGCTCCAGCCAATGCTGGAAGAACAGAGAGGTAAGGGTGGAATCCCTGCAGGGGGCAGTGATTGACAGGAGACTGACAGCAGAGACCAAGAACTCAGTGATCAGCGGTCATGTGAGCTGTCAGCTCTGGGTTTTAGAGCTGGCGTGAGACAGATGCAGCCCCATGCTGGTTTTAAGTATTTGGGAAAGTATGTTTTATTCTCCCTATACTTCTTCTTTAAATCTAAACATTTATCATATGGAACTCTTGCACACAAAATGACATGCTGGTGGGCACACTTTATGTTTCTTGTAGGAAATGGATATAATGTAATTCAAACTTATTGTAACTGCATCTAATTGGATTTGTTTTTTTATTGGTGTCTACAGCTAGAGGCTGAGAGGGCTTCCCAGCAGGAGGACCGGCGTGTTAGTGAGGCAAGTTGTGCTACTTTGAAGGAGCAGTGTGAAGCTTTGGAGCTGGAGGTGTCCCAGCTACAGACAGACAGAGCCAGACTGGAGCAGAGGTGCCGAGACACTGAGGAGAAGCTGCAGAAGATGGAGGAGCAGCTTCACAGTTTACAGAGAGAGAAAGCAAAACTAAAGGAACAGCTTGCACAGGTAACAGAAAAGGAGAACATTACATTTCAAACATACTCAACATGTGATCAGTAAGACCACAAAATCGTATGTTGCGTGACAGTCTCAGATGTAAAAAATATTTTGTAACAGTGGACTTTTGTACTGTTCTCAGGCCAATGCTTCAGTACAGTTATTACAAGACCAGTTACAAGAAAACCGGAGAGAGCTGGACATACAGTCAGCAGCTCTGCTGCGGGCTGCTCAACGCATGGAAGACCTGACCAATCAGAATGCAGAGCTTGGTGTGAAGGTAGCAGCTCTTGAAGCGGAAAGGCATGAGCAAGAGGATGAAGCGGAGCAGCTTCGGTAATACTCCAACTCACTGTGTATTGTCAGAATGTTTACTCTGATAAAATAAACAGTTTTCTATTGATGAAAACAAGCAAGGATCTGTAATTAAGGAGATTCCCATCTTATTTCCGCAAATCAACAAAATAACTCGAGTTCTTTATTTGCGCGCACTTGAAGACAAAATAAGAACAATAATGCGCAAAAATATATATATTTATTGACTAAAAAACAGTGCAAAATAATAATCAAAAAGTAACTGGTGACAACAAAGAATATGGATCGAAATTTCAATAATATTGCTCAACAAAGATAATAATAATAATATTAGATATTATTTCAAATATCAATGATACAAAACTAAGTAACTCTTGGAATGCAATTAGTAGCTTCTCAGTAGCTCAGCAGAATGTGACAACATAATGTGCAGATTTGACACGTGACCTCTCCCAGCCAACAGATATTCACAAGCTCAAATTTCTACTGCGCATGAACTAACGTATAATACTATGCACAGGACTGGCTATTAGCCAAGAATATATTTAAGGTAAAGGCAAACTTCCACTAAGTTATTTTATTTTTAAGTATATATCACAACTAAACCATTGACTAGAAACTGAAATCAGCTTCAAGGAGATTCTTTATATATTTCTCCCAAAATTGAAGAGAACATAACTTTCTACTGCAGTTAGAAATTTTACTTCAATTCAGTTTTGATGCTAACAAGGACCAAATGGTCTAGTTAGATATATATATGGCTAGTCAATTGCCTACAGATAAATAGAAATGTATACTTTACCAAAAATTGAAAAATCTTTTGTCTAAGAGATGTCAGCTTTGTGTCATTGTAGGGACAAGAGATATTCAGGTCCTCTTTGGTTCAGTTCCCCTGGTCAGCCTGTCAATCCGCTTCAGATCTGTCCCTCCTGTGTCTGTGTACGTCCTCCTGTATACTTTTTCTTTTCTTTCAGTCTTTCCGTTCTTCTCTCTTACCTTTCTCCTAACTTTTATCACCCAAAAATGTGTGCGTAGATTGCGTATCTTTAACCTAATTATGACGTCAGAAAGGTGTCACTTTTCTAAAAACCATCCCTGCAATTACCTAAAGGGGGAAATATTGGACTAGAAATAATTTTGGACTTTTCCTTAAAATTCCAATATTATTCCTTGAGATGACCTCTGACCTAAGCCTTGAACAAAACCATACATTTAATAGGGTGGTCCTTTCTATGGCAGCACCTATCCGACTTACTGTCTCTTTAACAGATATATAGCTTTGAGAAAGTCTGAACAGTAGCAATTAAATTTTCTTCCAAATACCTTGAGAATGAAGTCATCTACTGACACAATGGTTAACTTAAATTCTTTCACGGATAAGAAAATAACAGTATACCCAACCTAATTATTCGTACTTAAAACAAAAACCCACCATATTAATAATTTATACTAATATGTTTCAATGAGTACAACCAATAATATATAATGAATATAGGTTGAATATTGTAAGAATATATGTATAAAAAAATATATTTAAAATTATTCAATTAAGTAAGTATGTATATGCTTCATGCAATACTAATAATTATCGTGAGTTTACCGAAAAGGCTATTAAGTCAAATAATGACTTCACTGACAGGCTTGAAGCCTATGAAAAAGGTCAACCTGAAATTTTTCCAGGATTTCTGGAAATGGTCCAGCAACAAATATCCTTAGCTGATGGATACTCTAATGACCTAGAGCGCCAACAATTAAAAGAAGTTCTCATGGAGTTGCCTTATATACAGTATTATTATTTGAAAGAGATTGTATTAGCAATATATTCAATTGTTTCCTCTGCTTCCTGCTCATTAAGTGGATGATCAAAGGTAAGGGAGGATTCCTCCACCTTACAGGTACCTTCTTCAGGATTGAAAGGATAAACTGAGTTAATGGTGAACAATCCTTCAGGAGAAGAATAACCATTTGCTCCTCGGTGAGATATTGTTCAGGTATTAGGCCAATAATTGCATTTTGAAACCAAAAAGTGTAATAATCTGAATCTAATGCTAGACCAATTATAGTGTCTTTAGACAGAGAGAATTCATTTTAAGTTCCATTATTAATGAATGCCGCGGGATCGCAGGACAAGGTGATCGCAGGGACAAGGTGAGTGTCACTTTTCTCTGCAGCCCCGAGTCTGGCTCGGGGTTACCGCTCCTAGCATTGAAAATTCACCCCGAGCCAGACTCGGGATTACCGCCAGGGAGGTTAATGCATCAGGATTCTTCAAATTTTGGCCTTTCGGTACCTGGATAGGTAACAGAAAATTATTAGTACCTGGAGGGATAATAACATTATGTGGTACTAATATACTTACTGCATATGGCAGTATATGGGATGATCTGAGGGCCTCATGTTCATCCATTAAACTACATGGATCCCCTTTTAATCTAGTCCACACTGTGGAATTTACTAGATCCACATGTATGGCAAAGCAATGTAATATATCGTTGCCAATGTATATATGACACCGTGGCTCATTGAGTACCAGGAATAAATGAGTGGCTGTTTTACCCCCAATAGAAATGGAGAACATACATTTAGCATATATATTATGACTGTTGGCGTCATCATCCAGATCATGGACCCAGTTATCCTGAGGGTTTGGATACCTAATTACTTTAGGGTTAGCCATTTGTTTTAGTAGATCTCTACTAATGTAACTATTTCCCTGGCGTAAATCCAGTTTAGCTCTTTTTAGTTCTTCCCAGGTCATTAACCTGTAAGGGAAAGTACATATCATCATAAGTGTATGCATGAAGTCACTCGCACTCCAATAGAATTTCAAGTCAAAAACAGTTTATTGACTCGATTGCTATCACATCATATAGCGAATGTGAAACACCACAGTACAAGTGCAGATATTTATACATGATGAGAAAGACAGTGGACCAATCACATTAACACGTGTTAACCTCTCCGTAGCTGGAAAAACTATGCATTCCCGCCATAATGATTATATAACAAAGCATTACATGTAAGACATTACCCATATCAATCAGGATCATCTGGCCCTTTAAGAGCTCTACATGTGCTGCCATGTTGCCTCTGGCCTTGCTGCAAACTACCACATGTGCTCCTGAGTTAGGTCCACCACAAACACTATCCAAGTGTGGAGATGGGCGGGATCTCTAGCTCCATGGAGACTATGGGGGGTGATTTACTAACCTAAACACATACATGCACTAGGTGCGTGTGATTTTTACACAGCAAACCGTATTTATCAACCAAAAAGTCTCTAAAAGCATATTTCCACTAATGCCATATATGGAAAAATCATGCACATGATGCATATATAATGCTGCTTCACAGTTTAGACAAAAATGGTTAGCTCATGCATTTACATTCCTGCATTCATCAACGCAAGCAACACAATGTAGAGCTAATTTACACAACATCACCTTGCAATTCATGCTTGGCTTTGCACAACACACCTGCTGGGTGTGTACACACTACAAAGGTGTCTAGATTCCACCCATAGATCATGCTGGGAGGGAACACACTACAGAGGTGTATACTTGTTCGTGGCGTGTTTATAACGTTAGTAAATTAACCCCTATGTCTCTCTCGGTCTGCAGCCTGATTGGAGAGAAAGCTCGTCCGTGTGGCATAAGCGTTGCCTAGCAACCAGGCAAAACACACTATTCTGATACTGAATATCACTCTTGTAAAGACATAAATAGGAGCATATGCAACAAGATGTCATAAAGGGGACTACAATGTAGTAGTCCCATATGTAATATGTGAAATATAGGCAGACCCAGAAAAACCCATAAGCATTCATGGCTAAATTGGACAGATTATACCATACATGTATCAATCATAAAAAGTCATATAATGTCCCGGAAGCTTTATAAAAAAAACAGAACAAATTGATAAAAACAAGCAGAGACGGCAGGGGGAAGAGAAAATAAATAAAAGTTAAATGTACCAAAGCTATCAGGGATTCATGGGCTCCATGTTCATCAAAGCATCATCAGATAAGTACCTTGGAAGGTGAGGAAGTTTACTTCATCCATCAGATAGAAAATATATGTAAAAGAGATTTGAATTAAGACCTCGAGGTATTGCAGTGTCCAACGTAAAAATCCAGAAAGCCTCTTTGCGCAACAGTTGGCGGTCTCTGTTGCCACCTCTGTGGTTTGGCAGAATGTGGTCAATGACCATTCCTCTCAGCTCATGCACCTGGTGTTTGTGTTCAATGAAGTGGATGGAAACTGGTTTCGTTGGTCAACTTCTTCACCCATAGCGGCCTTCCTAATTGATATCCTAATGTCACTGCGGTGTTTTTCGAAACGTCTCTTGAACTGATCTTTGGTTTTACCCACATATATTAAAGAGCAGGGGCATTTGAGTATATAGATCACATGGTCCGTATTGCAGCTCAGATATCCTCTGGTGCAGTATTTGTTCCCATTGTGGGGGTGTAGAAAGTGCTCCCCCTCAATGAGGGCTTGCAGACATTGCAATTGCGCCATTTGTAGCAGCCCGTCTTGCTCGGGATTTTAAAGGGGGTCTTGATATATTTTTCTCTGCGTTCAGCCTGTACAAGGTGGTCTCTCAGTGTTCTGTCTCATCTGTACACCTGTAACGGTGCCTTTTTGATGACTGGTGTCAAATTTGTATCCGCTTTTAGAATATTCATATTTTTAAGGATGGACTTCCGTGTGGTATGGGCCATGTCATTATATGTGTGTATAAAGGCAATCCTGTCCATTTCTTTCGGTGTTCCACTCTGTTGAGATTTCTCTCTCGCCCGTATAAGGGCTTTGTTCACCACATACTCAGGATAACCTCTCTGTAAAAACTTCTGACGCATGTTTTTGATATGCATGTTGCATGCGTCACGATCAGAACAGATGCGCATCACCCGTAGGAACTGTGATATCAGAAGATTATCACGGAGATGCTTGGGATGAGAGCTGTCATAATGTAGAATGGTGTTCCTGTCCGTTGGTTTGGTATAGATGGAGGTATGTATCCTGTGTGAAAGAGTAAACACATAGACATCGAGGAATGAAACCCCTTCGTTAGAAATCTCAGGGTTGAAGGTTATGTCAACAAATATGCTGTTGATGTATGTTACAAAGTCATTGAATTGTTCCACATTGCCATCCCAAATAACAAACACATCGTCTATGTTGCGTTTCCAGCAGATGACATGCGTTTTGAATATCTCGGATTGGTTGATATGCATTTCTTCCAGGTAGCCCACAAATAAATTGGCGAAATAAGGTGCCGCAGAGCTCCCCATAGCAGTTCCTTTAGTTTGCAGGTACATCTTCTGCTCGAACATAAAGAAATTGTGCTCAAGTACGAAATGCATGCATTGCGTGATAAACTCTACCGGCCATTCTCGTGTTTCCTCCTTCAACAAGAAGAACTCCACGGCTGACAATCCTGCCTCATTGGGGATATTTGTGTATAGTGAAGAGATGTCCATTGTCGCAAAGAGCCATTCTGGTTTTATGGAGGGAAACTGGCTCAATTTCTGGAGAAAATCATCAGTGTCTTTAAGGAATGCAAGTAAACTCCTGACCAATGGTTGTAGGAAGAAATCCAGCATCTGTGCCATCGGCTGTGTGATGGAATCGATACCAGATACAAGGGGATCGAAAATTCAGGGGATCAACCCCCTTGTGTATATTAGGTAGACCATAGATAACTGGGGTACATGCGTTGATATTGATTAAAAACTCAGCCGTATCCTTGTTGATCCATCCATTGGTGACCCCTATGTCGACTAGAGTGGTAAGTTCGTTTGGTGAATGATTGATTTGGAGATGGTTAAGTAGCTACTGTCGTCCAATAGAAATAGAAGGGCATCAAAACGTCCACTGGGGCAGAAGGATAGACCTTTGGACAATAAATCACATTCACTTCTGGTGAATATTCTGGAGGACAGGTTCACTACTGGGCTCCCTTCGGGGGTTTCCCTTTGTACGCTCTTGTTCTTATGTTTGGTGGTCCTGCATCCTCTCCTGGGTCGCCTGCGTCATGGACCTTTTGAAAAAGGGGGTTCTTGCCTCTATTTTGAGTGGCAGGACCGGCTGACGCTCCCGTCTCGCTGCCTGATGAAGGGTTTTCGGTGAGTATGTCACCTTCTGAGGATGACGCGCCCGTGCCTGTTGTGGGCTTGCGGAAATCTTTTGCATAATTCCTTTTTTGTGGAGGTCTGTAACGTTGTCGTGTGTTGCCTATTAGCCACGGATATACTCGTCCATCTTGATAGTCAAGATTTACTTGTTTGAATTTGTTAAGTTTAATCTGTCTCTCCATGTATGTATCGATCTAAAGATCGATTTTATGTAGATCACTGGTCCGTTTCTCGGGGTCAGTTATTCTTTCTCTCAGGGTAAGCTCCAACACAGCAATTTCTCTGTTCACCTGGCACAGTTGTATTTTGACTTCTTCTATAACAAGAATCATGTAGTTGAGTGCATTTTGGGTGAACACCTCACACCATTTTTCACAGAAGTGTCTTTTATTTTGGCCGATGGTCGGCTGGTTGGTGATGCCGAAACCCCTTGGGATTTTCCTCATCCTGTAATATTCGGACAAAGTCTGTCCATGTAGCTCCAGGTCTGAACGTCTTTTCCTGAGCTTTTTAAGTTCTTTGAAGATGTCATCAACCGTGTCAGTACCAAACGCCTTGCTGATGTCAGTTGGAAAGAGGATTGATTTGATTTCCTCGGGGCTGTAGCTATGACTCATAGCTCTTGATGTATGCTCAATGACTTCCATTAGGCGGAGAGATGGTAGGAGAACCAGATTGGTTCGCCTTACTCGATATGTAAATCGCATCCAATATGAATTAGGGGTGCAAACGAATGGGTGATGCTAATAAAGTCCAAAATCCAGTGTACCCATCGCACTCCTGACCGAATAATACCCCCTTAAAGTCGGGTGGGTGCCAAAGTGACTGCAGATCAATCAGGATCATCTGGCCCTTTAAGAGTTCTAAATGTGCTGCCATGTTGCCTCTGGCCTTGCTGCAAACTACCACATGTGCTCCTGAGTTAGCTCCGCCCCAAACACTATCCAAGTGTGGAGATGGGCGGGATCTCTAGCTCCATGGAGACTATATCTGTCTCTGCCTGCGGCCTAATTGGAGAGAACAATCGTCCGTGTGGCATAAGTGTTGCCTAGCAACCAGGCAAAACACACTATTCTGATACTGAATATCACTCTTGTAAAGACATAAATAGGAGCATATGCAACAAGATGACATAAAGGGGACTACAATGTAGTAGTCTCATATGTAATATATGAAATATAGGCAGACCTAGGAAAATCCATAAGCATTCATGGCTAAATTGGACAGATTATACCATACATGTATCAATCATAAAGGGGTGGGTAAAACCAAAGGTTGGTTCAAGAGAAGGTTCCAAAAACACTGCAGTGACATTAGGATATCAATTAGGAAGGCTGCTATTACGTAGTTTACAAGAGTGATATTCAGTATCAGAATAGTGTGTTTTGCCTGGTTGCTAGGCAACGCTTATGCCACACGGACGAGCGTTCTCTCCAATCAGGCTGCATGCCGAGAGAGCTAGAGATCCCGCCCATCTCCACACTTGGATAGTGTTTGGGGCGGAGCTAACTCAGGAGCACATGTGGTAGTTTGCAGCAAGGCCAGAGGCAACATGGCAGCACATTTAGAACTCTTAAAGGGCCAGACGATCCTGATTGATCTGGGTAATGTCTTACGTGTGATGCTTTGTTATATAATAATTATGGCGGGAATGCATAGTCTTTCCAGCAAAGGAGGGATTAACAAGTGTTCATGTGATTTGTCCACTGTCTTTCTCACCATGTATATATATATATCTGCACTTGTACTGTGGTGTTTCACATTCTGTTTGCCTGAAGAAGGAACTGCTGTTGTTCCGAAACGTCGCTATATGATGTGATAGCAATCGAGTCAATAAACCGTTTTTGACTTGAAATTCTATTGGAGTGCGAGTGACTTTATACATACACTTATCTTGGATTGCAGAGGCATCTGCAGTCACTTTGGCACCCACCCGACTTTAAGGGGGTATTATTCGGTCAGGAGTGCGATGGGTACACTGGATTTTAGAACATATCATCATTCACCTTTTCAATCACTGCTAGGAATTGTGTCTGATCACTGAACCCAGTAGAGTCAGTATTTTCTGGATGGAGGTGAATGGTTAGAACATCACCTTCCAAGCAAACATCTCCAACCCTTTCAGGAGACACACATATGGTGTTATCCTCCTGTCCACCTAAGGTGGAGGTAGGTGTTGCCTGTAAGAAGGAGACATCTGGAACTTGGCTATTCCTGAAATGGAAAAAAAATGTTCCTCTTGCTCGGAGGGGTCACTGAAATCACTTTCAAACCCTGAAACCTTATCTTTTCTGGTCTGTCTAATGATTTTAGGTTCAATAGACCAAAAGTCTGGGTGTGAGCTGCTAACAGTTTCAGTGACATTTGCTCTCTCCCATACAGAAGTTTTAACCTTTACATTGCTGGCATGTTTTTCCTGCATAGACTGCAGATATGCCTGCAGATTTTGGCCATCTAACTCCTGCTGAACTTTTATTTTAGCAGTGCACAACCTTTCACATTCTCCTTCTAGAGCCAATTTTGTCCTTTGACAATCTGACAATTCACTAGAGATTTGATCCAGACTCTTCTTAAGAGAAATGATCATTTGTCTATTCTGGTCATCTTTATCTCGATAATTAAACATTTGGGCTGACAATTCTTCCATATCATGAGAAAACTTTGCAGATTGAACTTCAATCTTCCGAAGTGCTTTCTGTGACTTTTTAACATTATCAGCCTCTCGCTTGTTTCATGTTTTGCTTTGTTTAACCTCCCTGGCGGTAGGATTTTTAATTTTGCTCATGTCATTTTTCGGTCTATTTTTCTTTTCAAATTTTTTTCGTCTTTGTCGTTTTTTTTTAAATATCCCGCCGGTTACAGTGTCTATGTACGTCCTCCTGTATACTCTTTCCTTTCTTTAGTCCTTCCGTTCTCCCCCTCTTCACTTTCTCCTAACTTTTATCACCCAAAAATGTGGGCGTAGATTGCTTACTTTTAACCTAATTATGACGTCAAAACTGTATATAAGGCAACTTTTATAATGAGCTCTTTCTCCAGTAATGAGAAAAGAAAAAAAAAATCATACTCTCTTTTGTTCTCTGTTAAGTTTGAGACATAGCAGTTCCATCAAACTCATTATAACACAGTCTGACACCATGGCCAGTCCTTATCTTGTGGTTGTTGTCTGATACCCCCACAATTTACAACCTGGTAATGTATGTGGTAAGGTTCTGAGAATCGCTGATGTTAGAGTCTTTGTCCAGAAACCATCAACTCAAATTCGCCTTATGTACTGATAGAATAGACAGAACAAAGATGGCTTCCAGGATGCCCATGTTACAATGTGTAGAATAATATCTATAGGTCTTATAGTTTAATTCCTTTTAGCCCCAAATAGTTCTGACAGTATTTTAGTTTCTGCAGTGCTTCTAATGCTATATTACTGACAGCCTCTCTTGTTCCAATCAACCAGAGCACAAAAAGAATCTCTGGAGAATACCTTGTATGATACTCAGCGTCACGCCGCTCAGCTAGAAGATCGCAGAGAACAACTGGAAGGAGAGATCCACACCCTTATGCTAGCAAAACAAAACCTACAAGGTATGAAACCAGCCAAACATCTTAAAGTGTATGTATACCCAAAATGTATTTTTTAAGTATGTTTGCTATCATGTCTCAGTGTATACAGTTTTCTTGTGAATCTGCTGCAACGTTTCTTGCCTCAAGATCATGACAGTAACCACATTTCCTGTTGCAGGCTGACAACACTTAGCCACTTTTTTGCAATTAGAAGCAGCGTTCTCAGCCTGCAGTGTGCGCTCCTTCAATTGGCTGTTGGCCAGCCTATCATTTCTATCACATAGGCAGCCCAATAGCCAAGTAAAGAAGCTTGCACAGCAGGCTGATAATGCTTCTGCTAAATGCAAGGTAGTGTCTTAGAACTGCCAGCCTGCAACAGGAAGTTCTGCAACTGGCAGAATCTCCAGGTAAAAATCTTTGCAACAGATTCACAAAAAATTGATTTGCTTAGGAAAACTGTGTACTGTCCAGACATGATGCCAAACTTACTGAAAACTAGATTTTGGTTTTACATACACTTTAATATCTATGACTTATTGCAGACTTTGAACTGCAGTATAGGTTTAGGAAAACTCTGTTGTGTTCTGTTCCCTGTAACAACAAGTAACATCTGGATTATAAAATCACAAAAAAACATGGATATAATAGACACTTTTATGCACCTCCATGTGTCATCGATCCAATGTGCTCATATATCAAACTTTGCTAATCTTTTCTCAAAGAATGCCTGGCCTGTTATAATCATCTTTATGTAAATAAATTCTGTATATTCCAAGGGCAAGGTTTATTAAATGACTGTGCACAGCTTTCCCACATTTCCCCTGAGATCATTCTAAAAAAGGTAGAAAATCACCTTATAATCTTATATTATATTTTGTTTAAAAAAGCCAGTCTAAATAAATGCTTTTTGAAGGAAAATATATATTTAAAGTTGAACTTCAGGTTTAGTATCAGTTTAGGTATTTATTAGAAATCATTTAAATGCGTTTTTTGTTTTTTTTAGAGATTAGAAGTTTTTTAAACAAATTTTCATGGAATACAAACATATCAACATGCAATACAGTCTGCATTATATATTACTTAGTACAAAATACGGTCTTCCCAGGGGAACATAAGATAGGAATCACATTGGATAGAGATATAAGGCACATGTACTCAAACAAATGCTCTGGACTGGTCAGTGTTCACGGACTGCTTTATGTGGAAAATGAAGATACACTGAGTGGCCAGATTATTATGACCTCCTGACGTTTGTAGGCAAATTAGCTATAATTAGCTATAATTTGGCGCTGAAGTTGCTAGAGGGCCAGACCATCATAAATAGGGAAGCAGGTTGTTTACCACGACAGTAGAATGATTTTTTTCTGAAGATATGGGTAAACAATGAGATTTACCAGCCTTTGAACGTAGGATGATTGTTGGCGCTCAAGCCATGGAGCGAGTATCAGCAAAACAGCAGAATTCGTTAAATATTCAAGAGCAGCTGTTGTTAAAGTGTTTAAAGACTGGACTGTCAGCCGAAAATCTGGGTCTGAATGTGCGAATTGTGGCCGTCAGCGACTAGTCAATGTTAGGGAGGAACGGAGAGTGGCAAGACTGGTACAAGACAACAGAAGGGCAACAGTGCAGTGTCAGATTCCTCGCATCACCTTTCAACATCTCGTGGAGTCACGAGGCGGCCCAACGAAGTCATCTCGTGGAGTCATCTCGTGGCCCAACGAAGTACTGATGGGGTGGTCATAATAATCTGGCCACTCAGTGTACAAAATTGTATGTGATCAGAGCCATTGAAATGAGGAAGTGATGACCAACCAGTATGCCTCAATCGGGCTTCATGATTCCATCTCATAGAGAATTCCATTAATGAGGTTAGAAAGCTTGGAAGTAACTGGAAATATAGAGTGCAACATAAAGTAGTAAAGAAGAGGAGGAGGAGAAGGAAAAAGAAAAGAGAGAAAAAAAGAAGGACAAGAAAGGAAGGGAAGGTCAAGGAGCACTAGTAGGAGGGGAGTGTTAGTAGGGTGAGTGTATGCCTGGGAGTCCAAGGGTATAAATGTGTTTTTAAAGCATACTAGTGCTTGTACCTGAATTTGACATGATACCCTATTGTGATTCCCTGCAAAGCAGAAAAGGCAGATGTAGCACTAGGGACCAATCTGATTTGCTGCATGCACCTGCATTGGCAAGGAAAATGCTTAGAGAGGAGAAAGGAGACAAATTACCTCATCAGTGCACTGTTGCTCTTTCACTGCCCTATCACAGGTTGGGAACAGGGAGGTGACCTAGCTATAATGCATAACTACAGAAGAGAAGAGTCAGGTCACCAACCTACCTCTGCTTTCTGGAAAGGATTTGTAAGAACTGAATGGAGAGAAATACAAATACTTTGGCAAAAAAAGAGCTCCCATTTATCAGTTCAGCTATAAAACCATTCAAAAGCCTCATGAACAGACCTTATCACTGAAAAGTTTTAAACATCATTCGAAAAGTGAAAGCGTCCATTTGCCTGTTGGTTTTGGAAAACAATTCGATTTTTCTCCATTGCTAGACATCAGTGAACCCAATATGGACAATATGGATGCACAAACAGTATTACCTATAAATTTGGTTTGTGGCTATTTAGAAGTATAATTGTTAAATTATTTTTTTAAATACAGTTTCTCATGTGCACAAATACCAGTTGACAGCTTAAAGGGTTATTGCATTTTATTTAGAGCATGCATAGTTTATTGTATAGCAATATGATATACAGTATGTATCTGTTTCATGGTATGATGCCATTTTTGCTCCCTTTCCTTAGCTGAAGCACAGCACCAGGCGCTGGAAGCCGAGGAAGCTATGGCAGAGTTGAGGCAGCAGAAGGTCAAGCTTGAGCTGCATTTGGCACAGACAGAGCAGGCAGCACAGCTCTCTCTGAGTAACCAGGCCCAGCAGCACCAGGATGGTATGGAGCGTCTCAAGAAAGAGAAGGTTTGTATTGTTAATTTGTTTGACAGAATGTTGCATCGTGGATAAAATAATCCAAATCGCATAATAAGGGTAAAAAAGCCCTGGAGTGATAAGAGCAGTGTAGTAGCCACATAATCATTTCCTTCTGTCTCCCATATAACTGCTGTGTAGCCAGTTTATCTTGTTTTCAGATTGCTTAAACCTAATCTGAGGGCTTGCATTACACTAGTGATTATATTCCATAAAGCAAAGGACAATATGTGAAGTACTAGTAATGCTATTATAGCCAGACAGTCTGGTTTATGTTTTTCCTTGAACAAACTACATGCTTCTATTGATCTGTATTAAGTTGCAAAAAATATTGTTACGGTTATATTGATGGCGCACAATATATCAAGCTGGTTTACTGAAATTGCGTTTCTTAGTTTCTGTCATTTCAACAAGAAAGTAAAGCTGGCCATATACTTTTTGAATGTTTGCCGATTCCTGCTGAATTGGCCAAAATGCAAGCCTCATGCGGCCTTGTCAGCGCCCACTGGCTCGCCAAAGGCCAATTTTTGTTAATGAGAGGAGTTGGTTGAAAAATTCTCAGATGAACAGCACCTGCATATCCTCAGATGCAGGTGTTATTCATGTACTCAGCAACTGCTGGAGCAGCAGCAGCTAAATAAATTAGCTGGCAGCAGGGATTCCTCCATGCTGTTTAGTGTGGATGGGGAATTGATGGCTTTTAAACTCAGGCATCTGACTGCAAAAAAGTTATGAAATAGAGTTTACCTGAATACACTAGTAAAGTACAATAAACCATAGCTAACAATACAAGTTCAGCTTTCATTAGTCTGACTGCATTAAACTAAAATTAGCTGCTATTTATTATGGTTTGTTGCCCATTATTATTGCTGCTTGAATTGTTTATATAAGGAGTAAATACTTTCTGAACAGCACAAAGACATAAAAATGTCACTTCTTGGAGAGAGAACGGTAAGAACTAAAAATGCTTCTCCCTTCTTGATACCACTAACATCCTACTCTTCCGTCTAATAAAGACTGAAATTTGAAGGAGAAATTGTACTAACCAAAAATGTACTTACCATAACATATTTATAGATTAGGTTATAGGAAGAGGTAGGTCTTTTCATTTCGTCAATGCTAAAGACACACATACTTGAAGCTAAACTGACACACAATTCCAAACATTTCTACATCAGAAACTTAAATATGTCTGACGTGAAAGTAACTGCAATAGTAGACCATTGACCTTTGGAAATTCAATTTAATGGGTTGGAGAATAATGCTGATTTGCTGTTTTTGTATGATTAAGTATAGATGATCTAGCAAAGCTTAAAACAGTCTGTTAAGGTTCACCTTTATGTTCTAAACATGTTCATTAACCAGTTGACATCCGGAGGGCTAGCGGATCCGGAATTAAAGGTAAGGGGTCAGGAGGGGGGAGATGGCGGCACTCGCGATCGGGGGGGGGCTCCCGAAATTCACCCTATACAACCGATCTGTAGAAACGAGCGGGTCTTTCCTGCCCGAGCGCGCTAGGGGGCGCGCGCGAGCAGGAAAAAAATGCCGTCTGGAGACGGCAACCCGCTGATGCGAGTCTGCCGTCCGTCCGTTTTTTCGGGCGGACGGCAAGAGGTTAAAGAGGATCTGACCCTTGTGTGTGTTCTTTTATTCTGTTGTGCAAATATTCTGCTAAGTTTTTGACTACATAAACTCATAGCATGCAGTGTTTCCTTTTAATATACTACCACGTAATGAACTTCAGCTTTTTTACCTGTGATCTTCCACACTCAGGAGTCTATGCGTTTAGCCATGATGGCAGAGAAGCAGGAAGCAGTGCAGCGGATGGAGATGGAGAAAGAAGAACTTCTATCTGAGTGTGAAAACATAAAGCAGAAACTGAATGCAGAGATAGTCCGCCTGCAGGAAGACAAAGAAGAGAGCCTGTACAGAGTGGAGAATGAGAAACAAAAGGTAAGGAACTTTAGTTTAATTAAGGATATATATTAATACTTCCACCTCTGTGGTTTGTGACTAAATGGCTTGTGGCTGCCGTTTCAACTATTAGAATGACTGCAGTTGGCTATAGGACTACTTTGAATGGAATATAGTTCTGAATATATTGCCATGGGTCTAAATCATATTCCATCTGCCATCTTAGTGCTAATTTCAGTTGTTTGTGGATAAGTAGAGTTCCCTTTTTCAGGCTTTACTCCAGAAGGAGACTGAGAAGAATTTCCTAAGTGAGCGGCTGATGCAGGTCCAAAGAGAGTTTTCTGACACTAGGCTGGATGCTGAGAGGTTTAGACGTGAGACTCAAGTCAGACAAGATCAGGACAAGGTCAGTAGTTACTATGAAACTCAGTCTTTCATAAGGTGGCCATACCTTAAAAAAGGTTATATGTGTTCCCTGCATGTGTGCCATACTGTAACATTGGTCAATGACCTTGAAACATGATGATCCACCTTAATATGGCTACACTGAAAATACTGCATAGTAATGTGTATAATATGTAAAAAATATGAAAGTAACCCTTGATCTTCCTGTTTGACTTGAGCAGACACTGCTGGATGGTGTTTCTTCAGAACTAAAAGCATTGCAGATGGAGTTTGAGGATGCTGTGTCAGCTCACTCTAAAGAGAACAAGAGTCTATGTGAGCGAGTCAAACAACTCAGCCAAGACAGGGAGAGCCTAACCAAAGAGGTAAGCTGTATTATTCAAATCGGATTTTATGACCACTTCTTATTAATTTTTGTGTCAAAAATGTATTCTGCATGTGCGTGACTGGAAATATGATAGTTGAATTCTATTAGATATTGACAAAACAGTTTTAAGAAAGTCAGAACACAGATAGATAATTTTTACCCTCTTGCAGGTGGAAGAACTGAGAACTCAACTGCGTGTAGCAGAAGATGCCAGAGATGGGTTGCGCAGAGACATAATTGAAGTACAGCGCCTGCTGCGAGAGATGGAAGAGACCTGTGAAATTCAGAGGAAGGAATCCCTAGAGCTGCGTCGTGATCTCGGAGATCTGACTCGAGAAAAAGAAACTCTACAGCAATCCAATACTGATCTGAGAGCATCCATTAAGAAGACAGAGGCAGAGAAGAGCGGGTAAATTACACAGTAGTGAGATTTAGTGAGGTTGGCTGGAATATGGATGGGATATGGCTGGAATATGGAGGCTATGTATTAATGTCATAGCATGCTGTGATTTTTAAGGAGCATTGGCTACCTTGCTCCAGGGGTTTGTCCAGCCCTACCCTAGGCACAAGAATAGCGCCAAAGATGTCATAGATTACCTTCTGTGCCAATTACCTTATCATTGAAGCAGTACATCACAAACTGTGCCTATTATGGTTTTGTCGTTGAATATAGTGTGTCTCTTCTTAACTTTATTGTATGATGATGTTTTTCTTTATTCCCTATTATTTACTTAGTACATCCTAGTGTGTTGGCTGCTCCCACTGACTGAGTGTCTATGCTTTCCAAGGAGTCCCAAAGACTTATGCTGACCCCAGTTTACAACTGGGACCAATCAAATGGAATGCAGAAGCCAGTCTGTCCTATCCAGGAGCCAGCTCCATTGACAACAGCTAGATTGAACCTCAAACGTTAGGCACCAGCTGTGATTTTTAAGGAGCATTGGCTACCTTGCTCCAGGGGTTTGTCCAGCCCTACCCTAGGCACAAGAATAGCGCCAAAGATGTCATAGATTACCTTCTGTGCCAATTACCTTATCATTGAAGCAGTACATCACAAACTGTGCCTATTATGGTTTTGTCGTTGAATATAGTGTGTCTCTTCTTAACTTTATTGTATGATGATGTTTTTCTTTATTCCCTATTATTTACTTAGTACATCCTAGTGTGTTGGCTGCTCCCACTGACTGAGTGTCTATGCTTTCCAAGGAGTCCCTCAGGATTTTAAAATATCTAAAATCACTTTGTCTTGTATAGGGTTTTACTAAACTCTTAGGTTAGTATGTGGAGATTCATTTGATAGGCAGGTGAACCCCAGGAACCTATCAGCGTTGCCCCGGGGTGCAGGTATCACTGTTTGAGAAACTCTGAAATACAATCTAGTAAAAGAAGAAATAAAAATAGATATGAACGAAAGAGTCAGTTGTGAACTTGGAACTGAAATAATGGATACATTATGTATTTATTTAAATATATCGTTTTTGTTGAGACCATTGTGGTATTCAGCATAATACATTTATTACTCCCTTGACACATTTTAACCCACTTCTTCAGGACTGTTATAGAGAATACTTGCTCGAAGCTTCACTTATATGGTCTGTGTATTTGGCCTTTGGAAATTCCATTTAATAGGAGGTTAATTTATAATTGAGGATATAGTAAACATACTATATCCTCAATTACTTACAAGCACTCAGCGTTTGTACCTCGCTCTCCTTCCTGAACACTGTCACAGGGGGCTGGGTGAGTGGGTCGGGAGGAGAGATAAGCCTCCTGTGACAGCACTGGCTGTCTCTGCCCACACACCGCTCTCCTGACCTGTGACAGGAGGCTGAGCGGTGCGGGGAGGAGAGACGCCGGCCGCTCACAGCGCTTTCCTCCCACATCGCTCGGCCGTCTGTGACAGTTTGCCTTCTCCCCGCAGGGACACAGAGCAGCGCCCAGCAGGGAGGAGAGAATACACAGATGCACCGCTGTATCGGCAGAAAAATTGCACTTTCAGCGGCCAATATATCGGTGCATCCCTAATAGACACCCACCGAAAAACTAACATAGGAAATTTTGGTGACGTTGACCTTAAAGTGAGAATAGTATACAGTATAATGATGTGTATAGATATTAGAGCAGTAAAACACACTAATAATTGTAAGCAGAAAATAATTCTATTCAATGAATGTCTATGTCTCTGTCCTTCAGTCTGCAGGTGGCTATAGAGGAGAAACAGCAACGAATGGCTGTATTGCAGGAGGCAAAGTCATGTGTTGAGCGTGAAGCAGCACAACTGAGGACTAGCCTTCGAGAAGTGGAAAGATCTCGTATAGAGGCTCGTAGACAGCTCCAAGAACTAAGGAGACAGGTGTGCATTGGATGTCACTTAATTTATCAATAGATCTGCCAGTTACTGCATTCTTTATACCAATGTTTAGCAGCTTCAGAAAGCCCACAAAATAAATCACATTTGAAACTCTAGCCAAATGTAAGAAATACCTGAAAACAGAGTAATATATGTCTCAAAAATGATTGTGTGTTTTTAGATACAGGTAGTGTAATATAATTTTATTAGCTTCCTTCAATACCCTACACAGCAAAATTCTGACTGGAGGGAGGGCCAACAATGTCAGGTAACAGGCTCTATTGCTTTGTGTAGTGCTGTAAGTGCAACCATGTAAGCATGCTTACAGAAGGAGAGAGCAAAGAGACTATTTCATCAGTGTGCTGCTGACCCTTCTTGGTTCGGGTACCCTTTTCTTAAATATAAGTATTCAACTGTGTATATAGTGTGCAGCTGTACCACATAATAAGGGCTGCAACAACTAATTGATTAAATTAATAATAATCGATTATGAGAATAGTTGGCAACCAATCGGTTAAAATAATATTTTTAATGCAACCAATCGATTAATCGAAAAAAAAATCGGGCAACTAATCAATTATGTACATAATCGTTAGCTGCAGCCCTACACATAATAGTTGTTCATTTATTTAATGATACAAGTGTAAATAGAATTTGGATTCACAGTTCTCCAATGCACACAGGTGAAGACGCTGGGTGGAGAGAGCAGCCAGAAGGAGCAAGAGGTGGCTGAACTACAGGCACGGATCCAGCAGGAAGAGCAAAAGGAACAACAGAGCCGCAGAGAGTCATTGGAGCTGAGACAGCGTATTACAGAGAGCGAGGCAGAGAGAGAGGCCGCTCGTAGAGAGGTGTGGGATATTCTGAAATACCATCACATACTACATGACCATGTGTAACAATATCTTCCTGGTTACAAATGTGTATCTAAAACACTTAATACACAAAGAGCAAAGCGGAGAGAGAGGCCACTCGTAGTGAGGTGCGGGATATTCTGAAATTTCCATCACACACTACATGACTATGTGTAATAATATCTTCCTGGTTACAAATGTGTATCTAAAACACTTAATACACAAAGAGCAAAGCGGAGAGAGAGGCCACTCGTAGAGAGGTGCGGGGTATTCTGACATTTCCATCACATACTACAACACCATGTGTAATAATATCTTCCTGGTTACAAATATGTATCTAAAACACCTAATAAACATGCATATCTTCAGCTTTTGAATTCTGTAGGAAGTTTTTCTTATCTATATATGTTATGAGTATTTTAGAAATACTATTGTAGTACCCTGTCTGGTACTGTTCTATAGATAATACAGTGTTTACATTTTTTATGTGGAGAGCTAAATGGGAGGTCGGTCAAGAAGGATGAGGTCATCATGACATCTTTCAGTACAGTTTATCTGTACCTTTGTTTCCTGCAGAGATGACTTATTTAACTAGTACGCAAAGGGGCAATTCAGCTAGTAATCGCTTTCCAGTCTATTTAATGTGCACTTTTATTAAGTAAACCTGTATCAGAACAATACAGCATGGCAGGCAGATAGCTAGCATTTTCTGATGGAGAGGTCAGAAACAATAACCTCCATATTTTTCTCATGGTCGGTTTATATAAAGCTGCGGTTCAGATAACAGGATGCTTGAGTCTGAGCAGCACACAAACCCTTCAGCTGATGTACATCAGGGGCGTAGATAACCCCCCCGAAGGTCCTGGCAGTGGTGTAGCGAGAGGGGGCAGAGGGGGACACGTGCTCCAGAGCGCCCGTCTGAAGAACATCCACAGACGGGCATGGCTGCCTAAAGGGATGCCTTGGATGTCCTGTTTGATAAAACATTGGTGACGGCTGGAGGAGAGCTGTATTTCACTGACACTGATGTTTTATCAAACAGTACATCCCCTGCATCCCTCCAGACTTACATATGCCTGCCTGGCTCTGGATGATCTGTAGGAGGCAGGGTGTCCTACCAGGATCAGAAGGATGCATGGAGACAGAGCAGGCAATCAGGTAGCAGGGGCTGGGGAGTGGAGGGGGCGTTTGTATTATCTGTGAGCAGTGAGTATACTTCTCTTTTTAATCTTAAGTCCACTGTGTTGCAAAGTCCAGAGTCTAATGCTTTCCTATGTCCCGAGTCTAGTGCGTTCCTAAGGGCCTGTGCACATCTAGACGACACATCACCGCACGGCAATCGTGCACGATTCTGCGCGGTCAAGAGTCGCCTAGGTGTGCACTGATCGTGCTGTAGGTGCCAATATTTTCTAACGGCACCCCAGTTGCACCGGGCAGATTGCACGGTTTCCCGCCACGATTCCACCCGTGTTTCCAAACATGATCCCTGCTAAAACAGCCGCACGTCGTGTACCTTTTTTCTGAGATTGCCGCGCAGATATCACCCCATTGAAATCAATGGGGCCGCATGGCAATCGCGGCCTGCATTGTGCAGGACCGCACGATCCTGGGACGCGCGTTCCCGGGTTGCGTAGGCCTGCAGCGGGCCTGAGTCCCGAGTCAAGTGTCAATTGCGTTCCTATGTCAAGCTCATAAAGAGAACATGTCACCTCCGAATGCTATCACACAGGAACTTGTTAACCACTTTGTGATAGCAATAAAGTTATCATGAGTATATGAGTATGAGTATCATGAGAATAGAATAAAGTAAAAAAATACAAGAAATTAAAATAAAAAAACGGATAAAAAGTCAAACAAAAAAAACAAAAACATTATTAATAATACTAATCCGCAGAGCCCAACCTGAGACTCCGCACAGCCCACCTAAGACTCCGCACAGCCCACCTGAGACCCCCACAGGCTACCTAAGACCCCTCCAGCCCACCTGAAACTCTGCACAGCACACCAGGCCAGCTGAGACACTGCACAGCCCACCTGAGACTCCGCACAGCCCACCAAAGACCCCCACAGGCTACCTAAGACCCCTCCAGCCCACCTGAAACTCTGCACAGCCCACCAGGCCACCTAATACCCCTCACAGCCCACCTGAGACTCCTCACACAGCATTCCTGAGACTCCACACAGCCATCCTGAGACTCCTCACAGCCATCCTGAGACCCTGGAGACAGCAGGCCACCACCCTGGAGCAACACAGGATATGTAGCTTCATATTATTCTGTGCTATATAATGTATTCCTGGGATTTATAGTCCTCTGTAGCTGGTGGTATTCTGCATTGATGTATAATGTATTGCTATGTGGTGGGCCTCCATGGTGGGTCAGTGGACTTCTGTGCTCCCTTCTTTTGGTGCGGCAGCACCCCTCCTGAACCCCCATAGAGTATAGGCTTGAAATCACTCAAGTCTCTCCTCTATGACAGATTAGAAGGGGCAACGCCAGGAAAATTGAAGCAAGCCCAGAAGTGGCTCCTAAATTACCAAAGCAGTACTGGAGAATGAGGGGATTTGAAGGTGGATCAGGAAGGGAAAACATAGGCAAGGGAACAGCTTGTCTAGAGCATTGACTTATGGATTGATTTGTGGGGGCGCTAATAAAAGACTTTTCCCCGGACGCCTAATTTTTTACACAGATAGAGCTTTCTTTTGGTGCTATTTGATTGCCGCTGTTTTTTTTTCTTTAATTTTTTCATATGAATGAAAAAGACCAAAAATTGTGGGAAAAAAATATTTTCAACTTTTTGTTATACAACTTTTGTTTTTGTTATACAAAATATCAAATAAAATCAAATTTCTTCCTAAAGTTAGGCCAAAATGTATTCTGCTAAATGTTTTTGGTTAAAAAAAAACAATAAGTGTATACTAAGTGGTTTGTATGAAGTGGTAGGTACCAATTATGTCTTTTTTTAAACGTGGTTTTTATCCATATGGTGTCAAACAACAAAATCGGTATTGCTCAGGGTAAAGGATTGGTTTAGGAATTATATGGCTGGTAAACTTTTTCAAACCTTGGTGTGTCTGCTAGATAAAGTCTTATAATTTGAGATAGCTGAACCCCCCAGGAAAAAAAATGATCTACGGCCCTGACGTACATATGTGTATTTGGTGCCTTAGTCATATTCCGGTTGTGATTATATTTTTGTTCTCCAAAAAATTATTGGTGTTTTCAAGTGACAGTCTATCCAAAACTGGATGCAGCTGTGAGATCTCCTATCACATGGTCCCATTCTCTAAAATGAAAGACAAATAAAAAAATTCTCAAGAAATATAACAAGGTGGTTGGTGATTTAATATAGTCTACCCACATCCTAAATAGAAGATTTGGTTAGAATTACCAATTTAAATTTCTCCCAAAACTCACTTTTAAGGCATTCCATCTGTCAAGATTGCCAATAAGTGTGCTTATTTCAGCTCTCAGCTAAACTTTCAAGCCCTCAAATGGCTGGTGTCATTGCTGATCACATGGGCAGCACCATGACAACTGCAATCCAAATAGAGGCTAAGATGGCACCTTCCTTGGCTGTAAACCACAAGAGGGTGTAGCTCTGTTACCCAGTGACCCTATAGGTGTTTTATAACTGTCTGGTATGCCACATAGACAGCCCCATTGTTTTCCAGTGCTGTCACAATATCAGTTATTACTCTTTATGATCCATGTATTAAATAGATAGTATTGGCACCAGTGAGATTTATACTGGTCATACACTGCCCAATCTTCTGAAATAATTTCAGTAGCTACCCCTCCTTGCTTACAAAAGGTGCATGGGCAGCAAGCAGATCTAATCATTATCTACTCTGCTACTGATCACGAGGGACAAAAAAATCTTAATGCAAGATAAACATCTCTGTTCTTGTATGCACATGCCATATGGCTTTGGTTTGCCACACACGATCTGGAGGCTCAGAAGGTGTGGTAAATTATAGGATGTGTCTGGTTTGGCCATTTGAGTGTATACCCACATCTGGGTAGCCAGACCTTTCTATGTTTGGTATGATTGCACAGATTCCCTGCACAAAAGCTGAAATGGTTGACTCGTTGAAGGTATATGTGGTAGAGTAGCTCTGAACTAATGTGGTCACAGTGCTGTTGTATTGTATTTCCAAAACACTCTTTTATGACTGTGTGCTGATTACTGGTACTATACAGTAAGCATTACCCAATTAGGTTGATGTGGTGTGTGGTGTGTGGATTCTCCAAAAGTAATTTGATGTAATAAGGCAAAGTAATCATAATGAAAACTGGCAGATGATATTAACAGTAAGCTTCTCGGAAAGCCCAGCAGGCATGTCCCTGCCGGTATATGAACTCTGTAAACTGCCAAAGTTTTGCTAATTTTTATATTCTCTGAACTCCTTAGATACTGGCTCTGCAGCAGCGGCTGTCAGCTTTAGAGACCTCTTCCCGCCAGTGTGAGAAAGAACTTGAGCAGAGACTCAGCGAGAGCCGAGCAGGGGAGCAAAGGCTACAGGAGGGATGCAAGACACTGCAGGAGCAGCTGCAGCGAGTTACAAGTGAGGCTGCAGATCTCAAGCTTAAGCTTGGAGCGTGTGAAACTCGAGTTCGAGCCCTTGACTCTGAACTGAACAGGATCCAGACAGCACGCAGGGATGCAGAAAACCATTTAAACAGCCTTTACTCAGCATTCAGGAACACTCTGGGCATTAGGGGCCGCAGTCCCTCACCTCTTAGAGCTGGCTCTCCAAGTAAAGGTGAGATATTGTGGTGGACTTTAAAGTGGACATTAAACGGCTATGACATCTTGCTTTGTATGGGACAGAAAGCAAATAAGGGTTACCATTACCTGTTCACCCCACAGGGAGTGGCAACCTCCATGTGACTCAATGAGGGGACCAGGTATGCTGCCCAGGTATGATGGCCACTCACAAACACTAGAGATGCCATAGAGCCTATCAGACATACACACCACTGGTTTGGGAGTGTACCCCTTTTTCTTAGGTATCTAACTCCAAGCACCTCTTCCTTCACCAATGCTAATATCCTTGCAGGCTGGAGTTAGCATGGTAGAGGTCCTAATGTTTGTTGCCTCCTTGCCATAGGGATACCAGCCTGTATACATGGTGTAATGCCTAAGTAGTAGGGATGCTCCGATACCGATACAAGCATCGGTATCGGCGGCGATACCGAGTATTTGCATGAGTATTCGTAGTCGTGCAAATACTCTGATACAAAAAACGAGTACCTGTGCCGGGTCCGCCATCTTCAAGGACCCGAAACTGCCGCACACAGGACCTCCATAGCATCTTCAAAGAAACTAGATGGCCGCGAACTCCTCCTCCAAGTCCTCGGTCATCTGCTCCATTCTGACCTCTTCCCCCGCTGATTGGCCGATTGGATGATTGACAGGCTTCCTCACCAGTCAGGAGTGACTGGTGAGGAAGCCTGTCATCATCCAATCGGCCAATCAGCGGGAGAAGAGGTCAGAATGGAGCAGATGACTAGGCTGTGACACGGAGTGGCTGAAGGAGACGGAGAAGACGACACAGCAGGTTAGTACTGACACACCTCATGGGGCTGGGCACAAAAATGCTGTTTACCGGCATATATTATTTAAAAAAAAGAAAATAACTATGTAGATATTGCTAACTAAGGCTTGTATCCCCCTAGTGGTCAAAATAGATGAGCACATGTCCAGACTGCAGACCAGAACACAGTGTGGCACAGCTACAGCCAATTCTGTATAACTGGCTTTATATTATTATTACATTTTCTTATAATATAAAGCCAGGTATGCAGAATTGGATATAGCTGTGCCACACTGTGTTCTGGTCTGCAGTCTGGACATGTGCTCATCTATTTTGACCACTAGGGGGATACAAGCCTTAGTTAGCAATATCTACATAGTTATTTTCTTTTTTTAAAGTAATATATGCCGGTAAACAGCATTTTTGTGCCCAGCCCCATGAGGTGCGGCAGTACTAACCTGCTGTGTCGTCTTCTCCGTCTGCTTCAGCCACTCCGTGTCACAGCCTAGTCATCTGCTCCATTCTGACCTCTTCTCCCGCTGATTGGCCGATTGGATGATGACAGGCTTCCTCACCAGTCACTCGTGACTGGTGAGGAAGCCTGTCAATCATCCAATCGGCCAATCAGCGGGAGAAGAGATCAGAATGGAGCAGATGACTAGGCTATGACACGGAGTGGCTGAAGCAGATGGAGAAGGCGACACAGCAGGTTAGTACTGCAGCACCGCATGGGGGCTGGGCACACAAAATGCTGTTTAACTGCATATAACATTTTTTTAAAGACATTAAATAAAGAAATAACTATGTAGATATTGCTAACTAAGGCTTGCATCCCCCTAGTGGAGAAAATAGATGAGCGCGTGTCCAGACTCCAGACCAGAACACAGTGCATAGTGTGGCACAGCTATATCCAATTCTGCATACCTGGCTTTATATTATAAAAAAATGTAATAATAATATAAAGCCAGTTATACAGAATTGGATATATCTGTGCCACACTATATACTGTGTTCTGGAGTCTGGACATGTGCTCATCTATTTTCACCACTAGGGGGATACAAGCCTTAGTTAGCAATGGCATGATCTAAATATTCAGTTCATTTCATTATTCAATGTCTTTTTTTTTATATTATAAAATGTATAATATAATATATAAAAAAAAAGACATTGAATAATGAAATGAACTGAATATTTAGATCATGCCATTGCTAACTAAGGCTTGTATCCCCATAGTGGGGAAAATAGATGAGCACATGTCCAGACTCCAGAACAGTGTATTATTGTATAGTGTGGATATAGCTGTGCCACACTATACAGTGTTCTGGTCTGGAGTCTGGACATGTGCTCATCTGTTTTCCCCACTATGGGAATACAATCCTTAGTTAGCAATGGCATGATAAATATTCATTTGATGTTCATTTCATGTTCATGTTCTTCATAATATTAAGAAACTGACCTAAAATCATGATTTTGTATTGCTTTAGAAAAAATGTGACCTGTCCCTTTAAGAAAAAGTATCGGTACTCGTACTCGGTCTTAAAAAAGTGGTATCGGAGCATCCCTACTAAGTAGCATAGGGTGGTAGGGACTGTTTTTGTTTTTTCACTTTTCAATTCAGATATAGAAACCTGTCATGAAAGAAACACGGCAAGTAGTATTTCTTTACCTCTGCTTCTGAAGATATAGTTGCCTGGCTTTCTTTCACTTTAATGCCTTTCAATGGCTTTCTTTGAATTCAATGATTTCTATATGCTGGGTAGAAGGTTTATACATTAGCCCCATAATCATGTTGCAAGCAAAATTCTTCAAGCAGAAGATTCTACTGTATTACTGTCACCTTAGCTGAGTGAGACATGGTTAAAACAACTGAAGACATGACAAATTGCCCAGAGCAGCTTTATACGGTAAGTAGGTGAAACAGAAAAATAAATATGAACTGATTTTCCTGCCTTTATAAATAGACCTCTTATTTATCCCTCTCCTGATCACTTTTTAATGCCATACATATATGTATACAGGACTTGCTGGATCAGTTAGTTCATTTCTGGAAGGAAGGCGGACTCCAGGCTCTCGCAGTGGCTCCCCAGATCGCAGCCGCTCTCCGTACCCCGAGCTTGAACCTGAGACTGTAAAAGCAGCACTAAAGAACCTTCAGCAGGAACTGAGGGAGACTCAGAGGGAGAGGGTAAGGAACTAGAAAGCATGACACTGTGACTACAGGATTAATAAGGGTCATTGATGGAAAGAAAAAAAATATACAGACGTTTTTTATAATAACTCCCGGAATTTACCAAATTAGTGAAAAGTGGCCAAGCAGTTAAATGCACAGTTAAAGCTAAACTCCAGAAATGATGCATTTTTTTAAACTTACATTGGCCCAGCTTGGTTACATCTACTTCTTCATATTTCATATACACATTGGCAGAAATTCACTGTAGTAGCCTCTGCCACACACAGCCAGCGCTGGTCTCTTCCAGGTGCTGCTTAAGTGACTTGCTATCTGTATACTGAACACAAGCAGTCGCTGGCTCGGCACCTCCACCATTCAGTCAACGTCTTGTATTTTTCAATGAATACAAGGTATTCTCTGATTGGACAAGGAGGAGATTGTGTTGTCACCAGCACCTTCTCTCTTCCTTGACCAGTTAAAGAACGTCTTATATTCATGAAAAATTAAAAGATGTTGGCTAAATGGGCGGTTCCAGGTGGCAGGTGCCAAGCGAGGTACTCCCTGTGTACAGTATAAAGACAGGAAGCTGCTTCAACATCACCTAGAAGAGACCAGCACTGACTGTATGCAGCAAAGGCTACTCTGCTTCCCCAGTGACCCCCTGGATGTGAGATATGAAGAATTAGATGTACCCAAGCTGGATCAATGTAAGTTTTAACCCCTTCGTGACGGAGGCCTTTTTTTCATTTTTTTGTACCCATGTTATATTCCACATTTTAGGCCATAATCCCTGGAGCTCAGCTTTAAAGTACAAAGCTGTCAGGTTGCTTCTGCATTTACTGTTACAGCTTTGTCTATGTCATCTGCCTGCTGATAAACTATGGGGTCCTCCTGGTGCTCTTCTTGTTCTTTAAGTTTCCTACAAACCTGTTAGATTCACAGCACTGGAATAGATGGAATGCAATAGCGACTGAATAGCTCACAGTACAGATCCTTCCACTCTGATAACTGATTTCTGTTGTGCAGGGAAGTGTGCAAAGATCACATAAAGAAAGATTTTAGCCAATTATATAAACACTATTTTAAAATTCACCTACGTTTTTTTTTTAAATAAATGCATGACTGAAATAACTGTTTTTATACATTCACCTGGATTTTGGCTTTAACAGTTTACATTTTCATTATTTAATATACTATTTAAAAAGCAATTTACCCAACACTAAGCAGAGATTTTGTATAGTCAATGGTAAAGAATGGCTTTTCTAGAGTGCACTTTGTCTTCACCAAGCTAGCACATGGTCTTCTGTCATTTTGGGATCAATAAATAAGAGATAGGTCTAGCACATAAATGCACTATAATAAGTGTTACCAATATCAAATAATATTTATTTTACTTCCATCCCTAAAAACTGAAATTTCCATTAACAGCATCTCCTTTCTCTGACAGGATGAGACCGGCATGTCGCTGCATAGACAGCTGGGTGATCGCACAGATCAGTGTGAGAGATTGCAGAGCCAGCTGCAGAAACTCCAGAGACAGGTCACGGAGCTCCAAGAAGGTATATATATATTTCAATGAATAATCATTACATGCTGGACAAGCCATTATCCCTGCTGTGTACCCACACAATTGCCTTGCTAGAATTGCCTGAGGTTTATACTTTTTCTCTGGGATTTGCCTGTGAATATGTAAGAAATGTTACTCCAATTTATATCACTCTAAGCATTGCATTTGATATTGAATTGGTGTAGGTGTTATGAAGATGATGATGCAGCCCAGTATCTAGGTGTGAACAGGCCTAGCAAGGCCTAGTGTCCAGGGTTAAACACAAGACAAAATCTGGCATTGTAATCTCCCCTTGCTTTAATAGGCCTTTTGGGGATGGGGAAGAAGTCAGTAGCCATGTGTGAGCTCTAAGATGGCTGCTGGAGTTTATGCAAGGCTTTATTTCCCAGGTCCTGAAATGTACAGAGCAGTAGAGTAGCAGGGAAAGATAATTGTATGTTGCTGCTGTCATGGAGGGAGGGGGAGGGGTCCACTGTAAATTACCCTATTACTTTGAAAAGTTTACTTTAACTGGTTTCTAACTAGATTGGCCTTACAGTGTCTGCATGACATTAGATAGCAAGCTCCCGTAGGACAGAGACTGATTTAAATAATTTTGTGTGCTCTGCAAAGTGTTTGGTAAAATGCCGATGGTATATGAATATGGGAAATATACAAGTACTTGGTGTAACAGAATTGTGCAGACAAGTTAGACATTTCTGAGACAGATAGAGGTTTATTTCTCTTTACCAATGCAGAAAAGAGTAATGCGTTCACTGCACACAAGGCACAATAGATTGGTGGTATTAGAGTGGATGTGCAGATCTCTCTTCATCTATTCTATAGCCACTGCTTGATGGGCTTTACCATGCTCCAACAACCTAAATGGCATCTTGGTTTCAGACCCTTTCCATCATTAATGCTGTGTAATGGAGTTATGTGTATTATTCAGTTAGAGTAGGATACAGTAGATTTTTTTTAAAGAAAGGAAGACCGTATTTTAACGGTACCACAATGTAAACAATTGCATAAAAATAAAAAAATGTATTGAAACCTTTAAAATCTTATACAGTTTTTATTTTTTTTAAATGAACAAAGAACTGTTAGACATATTTCATCACATTTTACATCATTTGAACTACGAACGAGCACATAATGGGGGCATTTAAATGGGGCGGTAGCATGCTTGGGAGCTCTGGGATCAATTTGGGTGCCCGCTGTCTGTGGGAAACCTGGACATTCCTTTTTTGTAAAGAGATTACACCTAGGATCATTTTCTAGCAAGGAAGGTCTTAATATATGCTAAAGTATTTGGACACTAAGCTACAGAAGGAAAGAAAGTCATAAACTAGGTATTGCTCCTATATAAAATCACATATGATCAGAGAGGGCACCCCAACAATTTTTACCAAATATGGCACCCATCGCTTGTTTTCACTCACTCTGTTCCAGAGTTGCTTTAATTTATTTTGCATATGTCCCTATTTATTTAACTGGTATTTAAAGAGTATGTACTGTCAAACCCTATAGTGTATACTTTTTCAATGTTTCAATGATGACAACAATGATGAGAACCAACAACTGTAAGACTGCTTTCACACAGCGTTCCAATCATATTTGCCTGCCTGTTTTTACATAGTTACATAGTTACATAGTATTTGGGGTTGAATAAAGACATACGTCCATCAAGTCCAACCCATAGAGGTCCACGCATCATCTCATTCTTAGGGATACTGGTATCCCTGGATATTACGGTCCCTCAAGAAATTGTCCAAACGTTTCTTGAACAAATCTACACTCTTAGCTGAAATCACTGCCGATGGCAGTGAGTTCCAGACCTTAACCGCTCTTACTGTGAAGAACCCCCTTCGCCCCTTGTGCTGGAATTTTTTCTCCACCAACTTTAGGTGATGGCCTCTAGTCTTTGTAATGGAGTTAATCTCAAACAGTTTGTTGCCAATGTTGCTGTCACCATTGAACATCTTGTACATGAAAATCATATCCCCCCTTAATCTCTTTAATTCCAGCGTAAACATGTTTAAGGTCAGAAGCCTTGTCTCATAGCTCTGGTCCTGCATTCCCCTATTTTTTAAGGTGGATCTGATTGTAAGGGCAATGTTAGTCTATGTAAACCAATGCATGATTACCTCTGACTGGGTCTAGGTCTGAAAAAAAATCAATGCAAAAGAGTTCCTTTTTGGCGGACCTCAACGTGACATATTGGTGACAACACACACACAAAGGTTGAACTTGATGGACTTGTGTCTTTTTTCAACCTCAAATACTATGCACTATGTACTATGCGCAAATTGTTGGCGCTATATAAATCCTGTATAATAATAATTATGTAACTATGTGATTGGATGTAAACAGACCCAGTTTTTTTCCTTCAATGCAAGATGGCGTAAAAAACTGAATGGAAATCGATGTCACAAGTGTGACGTTCATTCCGTTGTGCTCCGCTCATCAGGGGATCTGTGCGTGGATCCCCTGCTGACCCGAATAGACGCCGCTCATGTGAAAGGGGCCTAAGGTGGTTCATTTAATGTCAATTTGTTGGTGACTTGTTAATATGCAAAAGTCAATAAACATTATCTTTAAAAAAGCTACAAAGGAAATGTGAGCTTCCACAGCAGCTTAATATAATCACCACCTGTCAAAAAAGTCCACCAGCAGAGCTTTGTGGAAGTGAAATGCAGACATTACAAAGAACCATCTTACGGGTAATTTCTTCTTTTGAAAACCACAAAAATATTACACAGCCAAAGGTATGCCAAGTTGAATCAGTCTTAACCTTTAAAAGTATTTGATGACATATTTTCTATCCTTCAGTTTATGTTATGAACAACTCTCAGCAATGAGAACTTTGCAGCCCCAGGCTATGTTTTAAAAGGGTGTGACCCTGCAACCTTAAAAAGGCGATGTGAAGGGAAAGACTTGATCCTATTCTCCGCTGGAGAATCTTCACAGGCTCTAACATAATGGCTAGGATTATGACATAAATGTGGAACATCACTTTTTGTTCTTTAAAATCCAACCTCTCTAATGAACTGTGTGAAGTGAAAGACATGATGAAAGGTTTTTACATGTCATGCTCACACAAAGGTAACAACAACTTGCTGTCTGCATGCAACACTCCACCCGTCTTTCTGTAACACATTAGACATGTCATCCTACAAAGCCAAAAAAATTATTGTTATTCCTTTTATATGTCATTGGCCCTTTCTGTTTTGTTATGTGTTCATACAGACAAAAAGAGTAATTGGGTCATGTCTAACTTTCTGTATATTCTAACTATTATGTACACTCCAGAAACAAAAACCTAAAGATAAAATTAAGCAGACCTAAAGCATTACCAACCCAAGAGCAAAAATGTAATATAATACAACTTACCAGTCCTTTGGATGTGGTGACTACATTACATTTTATTAAGGGTTCCTATTCCTTTATCTTTACCTGCCTTAAGGTGCCCACACACCTTGCGGGAAATCCCGCGATTGTACGATTATCGTAAGGTGTGTGGAAGCCGTGCGACCTCTACTACTGTAAGGTCGCACGACTTTACACTTACGAACATGTTCGAAAATCCGCCGAGAATCGTACGATTTTCGGCGGGTGTGTAGCATGTTCGTAAGATAAAAGCCCCGACGGGCCGGTGTGCCTGTTCGGCATTGCGGTCGTCCGAAGCCCGCACCTCAGCGGGGCGGGCTTGCGATCATCGCAAGTACGATCTGCCTGTCCAAGATAGGCAGATCGTACGTTTTTTTAATTACCTTACAACCATTGCAAGACAAAAGTCTTGCGATGGTTGTAAGGTGTGTGCCCAGCATTACAGTGCACTAGGTGCTTGGCGAGGCCATTCATTTGAATGGCACCCCAACGCACATTGCTGCTGTGTGCTACAACACAGTGCAGTGTGCGATACTGCAATACTGTGCACCGCAGTGCTCAGCGGCTGGGAGGTGTGTTGGGGAGCCATTCAAATGACTGTCAATGCAATACAGCTAGCGTACAATTATGCACAGTAATTGACACTAGGTGTGTTGTGCAACAGCATGGTGTGAATGGGCCCTACTATCCCAGATTAACAATGCTCACTCACTGTACTGTATCTTCAGAGAAGTAACATTATCATCCTGAGACAGGAGATATGTTAGGGCTACAGAGCACCCCCCCCCCTTTCAGCTCGATAACATTGGGGGTATTTTGTAGTCCACAGAGAAAGCTGAAAACAATGCTGATAACAGTCAGCAAAGTGCACAGAAAGTTGAGCTGCCAAGATTTATGGCAGGATCAACAGGTATAGTATGTCACCGAAGTGAGTACACCCCTCACATGTTTGTAAATATTTTATCATATCATTTCATGTGACGACAGTGAAGAAATTACACTTTGCGTGTACAGCTTGTATATCAGTGTACATTTGCTGTCCCCTCAAAATAACGCAACACACAGCCATTAATGTCTTTACCGCTGGCAACAAAAGTGAAAATGTCCAAATTGGGCCCAAAGTGTCAATATTTTGTGTGGCCACCTTTATTTTCCAGCACTTCCTTATCCCTCTCGGGCATGGAGTTCACCAGAGCTTCACAGGTTGCCACTGGAGTCCTCTTCCACTCCTCCATGATGACATCACGGAGCTGGTGGATGTTAGAGACATGCGCTCCTCCACTTTCCGTTTGAGGATGCCCCACAGATGCTCAATAGGGCTTAGGTCTAGAAACATGCTTGGCCAGTCCATCACCTTTACCCTCAGCTTCTACAAAAATGTGAGGGGTGTACTCACTTCGGTGAGATACTGTATATTTTGTACCTACGAAACATACAGTATATAATAAAATGCGTTCATAAGAAACATTTTTTGTTAGGGTTTACATACACTTTAACCTGGTTATATATTTATTAAAAATCACCCAATGTGCAATATTTTTAAATAGAACTATCATAAGTACTTCTATCTGTCCTCATAATTTAGCACTCTATATGGGAGAGAGAGGGTCATCGCCCTGAGCCATTCAGAGCATGAACATAAAGCGGGGAGCATAGTGACTTCATCGATATTTTATCTTTGTTGTCCAGTCAGAGACTGGGGGATGGTTGCTGACCAAGCTGTATTGTTTAACTGGGTTAGAGAAAAGTGAGGTCACCAACGTCAGGGGTGCGTCAGGGGAGCTGTGCGTCAGGGGTGCCTGGATCACATAAGTGGCTAATCACAACTACAAATTCTTACCTGCTATGTAAAAAAGGTAATGTTACTATAGCCAGGTCTTCCTGGGACAGCCGATGTGGCAATAAAAGGGAATTAAATGTGTGTATGAGCTTTAAACTTGCTAGAAACTTTGACCACTCCAGGAAGAGTCAATTCCCTAGCTCAGCCACAGTTCTTTCCTTGTCCATATTTGCATGTCATAGCCCACTCCCCTTCTGTGAGTGTCTAATTACGGGCTGCTGGCCCAGCTCTTCTGCCCCTCCTTTACCTACCCACTGAACTGATATCCCTAAGTCTGCTGGGACCAGCTGACATCACATCCAAGATGGCAGTGCCCAGCAGTTGTCTCAGGTCTTTTGGATGTCTGCACAAGGTAGGCTTTCACAGGTTATACCATGCATAAAATATGCTAAATGAACATATAATCTTGTGTGTTCTTGAAATGAATGGTTTGGCGCTAGGGTTTCTTTAACTCAAGGTACCAGTGTGAATGAGCCCTTAATAATGTACCGATTTCCTCCAAAGTTTACTAGCCACAGTGACTTCACTGAAGAATTCAAACAAAACAGTATGGGTACCATGGTAGGTCATCCTCCATTTATCTATTAGGTTATTATGCATGGCATTACACAGAGTGACAAAACCCAGTAATAAATGTCAGCAGACCAGTTTACTAGGCCTTTATTATAACCAGTTTATGAAGATATTAATACAATGATATTTACTATTAATCCTAACGTTTCCAGCTAGATGCAGCAAGACTTCCTGGTAAGCTGGCCATACAGTTGGGGGAATCGAAAGCTTGATTACCCCTTCCAGGCTAAACAGTGTAGATGGGGTAATTTTCCCTGACACGCAATTATAATCTGGCAATAGCAGGTATGCCACTGTCAGAACACAAGAACAGTTATTAACAGGAACAACTGGTTGGCTGCAGTCACTGTTCAGCTGAGTATATCGATAAATTGATCAATTTAATTGAATTATGTCAAGCAGAAGTGTGCAGGTCCACACTGCTTGAATTTCAGCCAAATCAGCAGGACTCGGCTGGAATTTGAGCAGTGTATGGCCAGTTTATCTGAAATGTGTAAAGCTTGTGCTACATCCAACTATGGCTGACCATACACGAATACAATTTTTAAATCAGCCTGCGGGCGCCGGGCGGAATAAAAAAATCCAACAGATTCATCCATCCTAAACAGCATAGATGGAACAATCTTCAGCTGACCGATGCTCAATACCCTGACAGTGCCTGCCTCTAATTGGATGCAGACATTGTTTGGATGAAAATGTTTGAACCGCCACCTTCAACTTGAAAAATCAGCCAACAGGACCACACATTGCTCGCATTATGGCTGGTTGATCAGGAACTGGCTGACATTTGCTCTGTGTATGTTCAGCTTTAGCAATTCAATAATCATTTTCTTTTTCTGTACTAGATGTTCATGTGAGAATACAGCCCACGTTCCAGCCAGATATTCTGAGTGAGCAGTGCACTTTTATCCTGCTGCTCTTGTTTAACTGCTGATTTAGTGTTCACAAGCTGAACTCAGCCTAATGAATTATGTTATCAGCCACTTTAGGTTTGGCATGTTCACACAGTCCTTCAGCAGGATTACTGGGCTGGAAGTCTGCTGAGTGGAGAAAACAAATTGCTCCCATGATAACAGATTAATCTGAATTATCTATGTTTGATAAGCATGAAATATTTAATACATTAGCTCTGAGTGTAAAATATCACTGCTGGTATTTCTCTATCGTCTATTGAGAGACACAGCTCTGAAGAATTCTGAGATGTCAGGTTATGCTGCTGCCTCCAAGAGAAATGAGCACTAGGCAAAAAAAATTACAGCCTGCCAATTTAAGGACATAACCCCTTACACCTCACACCTGCCAGTTTCACTTAGTGTACTCAGGAGGATGGATGTCTCCTTCTCTTCTGCTTTATTATTTTAGTTTATTTTGTGTCTTTATTAAAGATTCTACTACCCAGAGCTGCCAGTTGATTCATACCGGATATTATTAGATCCTGGGAGTCTTTCTCGCTAGCCGACAAAACTAAGAGATTCATGCCAGATAAGTTCAATCCTGATTTGTTATGAATCCTCTGTGTTTTCCCCATGTGCTTTTTCTATATTGTGAATTTTGTCTTCCCTACTTATGGTAGATCAGCGTTTAACTCTTAAGTACCATAAAGCAGGGGCGCCCACAATTTTTCGTCTGGAGATCTACTTTTCAAATGATGAGCTCAATGAGATCTACCAATGAAAAAACACCTGCATTCAGGGGCGGGAGGGGGCGTGGCAGTGCATTGAAGTCAACCGGCCGTCTCTTCCCTCTCTCTCCTCGCGCTCTCGCCTCTATTTCTCCCCTGTTTCTATCTGCTGTCTCTTTTCTCACTTTATCTGCTGTATCTCTCCTGTCTGTCTTTTCTTAACTCCACTGCAGCAGCTTCCCAAGTCTTCTTTCCTCTCTCCTTCCCTCCTGCGGCGTCTGCCACATTCAGTCGCACGAGTACCGCGAGAGGACAGGACACAGGTCAGTGAGCCGATCGGGATCTACCAGTTTTCACTTTGCGATCTACTGGTAGATCGCGATCTACCTAATGGGCACCCCTGCCATAAAGGGTCAGATATCTGCCTTGTTGGTCCTTTTTTCTCTCTCTCTGTTTCTACTGGTAACCATTCTCACTGGTTCAGAAAGTGAGGAAAAATCTAATTAGTTTTGAGTTGTCACTGGAACAGAAATAGGGGGGAATTGTTCAATGGGGACACTTGTTCCAGTTACCACTGTCTAAGGGAGGATTTCCTTTACTTTGGAGAGATTTCTTCTCACTTCCTGTTCTCTCTTAGAGAGGAAGTGAAGGAATTTGTACTAATTTTATTGCCACCTATTTGTTGACATACAGTATATTTACTTAGTATTGTTCATTTTTGTGAAGTGAAATCTCCCCTATGTGACCCTTCCCTAATCTATGAAAATGTATGTAAAATGCAGGAAAAAATATCTGTATGTTTGTGAAGTTTCTCATGTATTCAGGTCATGGTATAGCTTGTAGTAGTTAGTTACATTCAAATAGACTTGTTCTGTAATGTTCAGGATGTTTCCCAGTTTATCCAAGCCACTTCTTCAGTTCTGATGGGTGTCGGAATATACCACAGCATTTATATCTGTATACAGTGGCGTAACCAGAGTTCTGGGCGCCCGGGGCAGAAATTTTTTTCGCCCCCCCCCCATAGTACTACAAAAAAAAAAAACACACAAAAAAGACAAGATAACATGCATAAGCTGAACTCATCCAATCTGTGCAATAAAAGCTTTTATAAATTGAAAACCAAATTTCATCTATAACACAGGAAATAACACACAATGATGAAAATATGGCATGTGCAAAAGGTTCCATTGTGTATAACAGAGATGCAGAGAAGTACATACTGTATATACCAGCTGAACAAGCTGCCAGGTAATAACTTGATAACATTTTTTATCACATTTTTGTAGGCCAAAAAAAGACAGAGGAGCAACTGGGTACAGCGCATACGGAGATGCGTTTGCTGCAGGACAACTTGCGCCTGGTAGAGAGGGAGTGTCAAACTGCAACTGAACGTGCGTCAAAGCTGGAGCACGGCCTGCGCATGTGTGAAGATGAGAAGAAGAATTTGGAGGTATGCAGCTTAAACTAGAACATGAGGATTGATTCACTTCCATTTTATTAAATTTTTTTGTACATTCCTCTCCTAGTGATTACAAATATCATTTCTCTATGTTCTCCTGACAAGGGGCTTTGAACTAATATTCCTACTTCAGATAGCCGGTAAAGATATTAGTCTTAGTTCCATTAGTTACCACTCAAGCCTGACCACATTAAGCATTAGACATGAGCTCAGGTTCAGAATGGACCTTGTCTGAACCTGAGCTCCTCCAAACACAAAGCTACATGGGCCTCCTGCCCAATCAGCTGCAGCCAGGAATTCCCTATCCCACAGCTGACCATAAACAAAGGGGCGGGATGCTTGTGCTGACATCATTGACATATGGCCATTTTAGGTAAGTGTAATTTGCGTAATATAGCTATGTAGTCATATAAGGTCAGTGACGTCACTGCATCCCACCCCTTTCCTGGCCATAGCTGATTAGGCAGCAGTGGAAGGAGACTCCTTCCAGGTTCAGAGGAGCTCAGGTTCGGATTGGGTTCAGTCCAAACCTGAGCACATCCTGATCAGCATGTTCTTTTCTACCAAATCCCTCCCAAACTAGTAATGGAGGTTCAGAATAACCACATTCAATGTGATTATTTTTTTATACCAAAAAAGACACAAATTAATGCATCTCTGTAATTGATAATACACAATTAAATGTCTTTTTTAAATGCAAGCAGTGTAAGTACCTGAATTTTACCTGGTATCAACGTTTTGAATTCCCTGTACAGCAGAGCTGGAGGGTGAGACAGAGAAGCAGTACAAGGAGCTTATGAGTTCATGTGCTGACAAGTAGCATGGTAGGAAGAGAAAGCAGAGTGCAAGAGAAATAAGCTTATCATTGTGCTGCTTCACTGCAGGTTGGGACAGGTTCAGGCTGGCCTAGGCTAGGATTCAGTGGGTTGCTGGCCATCAGATTGAGGGCATTAAGTAACAGTAAAAAAATGTTTCTGGATTTTTCTTTTTTTTAAATCTTTTAATGTGCTATTCATATTTATCATGATGCATGTGGTTAGAGTTCCCCATTAAATACCTGTGATATCCACACTATTGTAGGAGAGACTGTGCCGGGCTCGTAGTTGTGAAAGCCGGCAGGAGCTGGAATGTAAGAGCCTGAGAGAAATCCTGGAAGCTTCGGAGAACCGCAGTACAGACCTGGAGCTTAGGAGGCGATCTCTAGAGGGGGAACTGGAGAGGACGCGGCTCTGCCTGGCGGAAAGAGAAGCAGAAGTTCTGGCTTTGCAGGACCAAGCACAAGACTTACAGGAACACTTGAAGCAGAGTGAAGACAGAGAGGCTGGCCTGCAGAGAGAGGTGCAGAAGCTGAGCCTGGCCTTGTCCAGGGCTCAGGACGGTGAGAGGCAGCTGCAGGACAAATCACAGGGGCTGACTCAGGCTCTCGGAGAAGCAGCAGCTGGAACGGGGAACCTGCAGGAAAATGTCAGCAGATTACAAGGAGCTCTGACGGCAGCTGAGCAAGATAGACGGGTCCTGCAGGTAACATCTCCACTATGTTCTTTTAGTATATATGGCCTTATTCAGGAGTATAGTTTAACCGCTTTCTACTCCCAAAGGTTTAAATCCTATTTTTCTACCCCCACCATTTAAAACATCTTTGGAGAAAAGACCAGTGTACAGCCATTCTGAGCATCATTAGACACTCTGTCTCTATGTACCAAGCAGATCCGAGTGGCTTGATATCTTGTGATCACTGTGACTGGTCATCACAGTGACCACATACTCGTGTTTGCAAGGCTTGCTCTTACAGCAGAGGATGGAGAGGAATCATAGTTTATGAATGGGTAGGAATGAGTGGATCAGCAGCAGCTGCTGATCTATGAATTTCCAATAACTGTGAAGCTTTTTTTTTAACCCTTTAACTCCTCTCCTGCACATCTTATCTCCAGCCTGCCTCTGTATTGTGATCTATATATTAGCCCATAAAAAAAGTAGAAACCGCTGTCACTTTAAAATTCCTTGTGTCAAGTCTTCTTTATTGACATGATCAAGGTAGTCTCACAGTTTATGACTACCTTGATCAGGTCAATAAAGAAGACTTGACACAAGGAATTTTAGAGTGACAGTGGGTTTTTCCTCTTTTTTGGGGGGAATTAACAGGCGGCGCCATCCGCTTCCACTGTTACCCCTACTTAATTATTGGGTTTGGATTCCGGTTAGGAGTGCAATGGGTTATGGACATCTGTGTATTAGCCCTTCACCTCCCATATCCTGCACATGTGCACATTAACCCCTTCATCTCCATCTTGCCACTGTATGTGACCTGCTCATTAACCCCTTACCCTCCTGATCGCTCTGTCTATCACCAATACAATAATGTTTCTAATGCAACTAATTGTCAAACAAACTTGCACATGAAAGGGTAATACAGGCTGCTATTCCAGTGGTGAAGGATCTAAGTTCTTTAACAACAGCAAGTAGTAAGAATCCATTGTGATTGTGACTGTAGTAAAAGTTCATTCTTATTGGTTGCTATGATTTTAAAGCCATGTGATAAAAGTTGGAATTCTTTTATGAAGGAAAAGTATTGTCTTTACAATGCCTGACAACATTAGGGGGGTTATTCACAAAGCTACCGTAGGCAGCCAAGTGAATAACCCAGCTGAAGTGAAGTTCGGCATGGGGAGAAAGGCCGGCCTTCGGTAGGGCGTTCGCCCTGCTTTGGCTGACACTTCGGCTCATTCAAGCCAAAGCAAATGCCTTCGGCTCGACTGAGCCGCTTGGCCTGCCTTCGGCTGCTGTACGCAGCCCTACAGCAGCTGCTCGGTTTGACTGAACCGAAGGGCTCCGGCGGCCGAAGAGAGCTGAAGGATCAGCCGAAGCTACAGCTGGATCCTTTGGCAGCTTTGTGAATAACCCCCTAAGTGTCAGTAAAAAGGTACTGTGGTGGAAATCTTTGGTTGGAAGGTGGATATTGCAGCAAAAGCTGATTTTTTTATTTTACATACACTTGAGATGAAGGGGAATAAGCTTGATAAAAATTATCTCATAATTATGTTACATAGTTACATAGTATTTGAGGTTGAATAAAGACATATGTCCATCAAGTCCAACCTATTTGTGTATGTGTGTATGGTCCTATTGGTGTGTAGTATGATCAATTTTAAGAGTACTTGTACCCCTGTATATTACGGTCCCTGAGGAAAACGTCCAATCGCCTCTTGAATGATTCCACACTCTCAGCCGAAATCACAGCATATGGCAGCGAGTTCCATATCTTGACTGATCTAACTAAGAAGAACCCCCTTCGCCCCTTGTGCTGAAATTTTTTCTCCACCAATTTTAAGTGGTGGCCTCTCGTCCTTGTCATCGAGTTAATTGTAAAAAGTTTGCTGCTAATGTTACTATCCCCGGTAAACATTTTATAAATGAAAATCATGTCCCCCCTTAATCTCCTTACTTCCAAGGAGAACATGTTTAATTTTAGAAGCCTGTTCTCATAACTCAGGTCCTCCATCCCCTTTATGATTTTGGTTGCCCTCCTCTGGACCCTCTCCAGTTCGAGGACATCCCCCCTGTTCACTGGTGCCCAAAACTGGACCGCATACTCCAGATGTGGCCGAACCAGTGATCTATAAAGTGGCACAATTACGGACTTGTCCCTGCAAAACATTCCCCTCTTAATACAGGAAAGGACTCTGCTTGCTTTGTTTACCGCCGCCTGACACTGCAAGCTATTTTTCAGCCTGTGGTCTACAATGACCCCCAAATCTGTTTCCCTTTCAGATTTTCAGAGGGGAGCTCCTATTAGTGTGTAATCCGTTTTCTTGTTTTTAACCCCAAAGTGCACAACTTTACATTTATCTACATTAAACCTAATCTGCCATGTGGTTGCCCAGTCCTCTATTTTATCCAGATCCCCCTGTAATTTTATAGCGTCACATTCAGTGACTATTCCCCTCCCGATTTTGTTATCATCCGCTAACACTGAAACATGGCTGTTTACCCCCTCCCCAATATCGTCAATTAATAGATTAAACAGCATGGGGCCCAGCACAGACCCCTGCGGAACGCCGCTCATGACCCAAGCCATTTATTGATTCTCTTTGTACCCGTTCCTTTAGCCAGTTCTCTATCCATGTACACATTAATTCGTCTATACCCATAGACCTCAGCTTGTATAGTAAACGTTTATGAGGTACTGTGTCAAATGCTTTAGCAAAGTCCAAGTATATCACATCCACCGGCCTCCCTCCGTCCAGCTCTCTACTTACCTCTTCGTAAAAAGTTAGCAGGTTAGTCTGACAAGAAAAGTATTTCCGAAATCCATACAGGTTGTCATTTACTATGCCATTTTTCCCGAACAAATTCTACTAGGTCAGTGGTGGCGAACCTATGGCACATGTGCCAGGGAGGGCACGCGAGGCCCTTTCTGCTGGCACGCGAGCCAAGGTTCAGGCACCACAACATTAAGGCAGCCGAGCTGTCTAATGTCGAAGCCAATAAACAGGTAGGTTAGACGGCTGCTTCCTCTTCGCTAGGACCCCGGGAGCCCCCCGCAAGCGGCCGTCTAATCTGCCTGTTTAGAGGTCACCGCCGCTGCCTGATTGTGACCGGCCCAGAAAGAAACCAGGCATGCGCCGATGTATCAGCCGAAACATGGCTCTTTCGGCATTATGCCAAAAGTGCAATTTTCGTCCGATATGTTTCGGCGGCTGATATATTGGTGCATACCTACTATTTATCCATACCGGCTTAGTTTTTGATCTTTTTATTTTGTGCCCCAAAGGTATACACTTGGTAATAGCCTCATGTAGTGTGTTCTTTACACATTCCCACTTCTGGTTAGTGCTCAGTTTCTGAAATACATTTCCCCATTCGATTTCACCCATGAGCTGGCGCAGCTTATCGAAGTTAGCCTTCCTGAACTCCCCATTATTAAGAGGAACCCAAAGCCCTCCTTCCGACACCAGCCTAGGAGCCGCTTGTTAAAATCCCTCAACTCTCGCTGTCTCTCTGGAGTGTTAACTGATAAAAAACATTTTTTTATATAAAATAAAAGTCTCTATATAAAATTTGTAATGATGTGTGTATGTGTGCAGCCGTACTTAGGCTCTGCTTTCTTTGCAGCGCTACACAATGGTTTGCCACTCCTCTCATAATGCGATTCTTTGGGTTTCTAATCTACAAATATTTATATTTAATACAAAAGAAAATATAGAACACTTTGTGAAAATCATATAAAAATCAATCTCATAATAACTCACTGACAATCAAGAACGATGGATCGTTCTGCTTCCACTCTAAAAAATTTGCCACTGCAGGCTTAGGCCTATGTGACTGTTCTTTAAATGTGGACCTATAGAAAATAATATAATACATTGGATGCCACAAAGATTTTTTCAGCTTCTGATAACTAGATGTTTTGTTTGTTCTTCCCCAGGAACGCCTAGATTCTCTCAGGCAAGCACTCAGTGACAGTAAGAGACAGAACCTGCGTCTCTCACAGACAGTGCAGGAACACCAGCAGCAATTGGGGGACATTCAACTGACATGCAGAGATTATCAGGCAAGAGCAGAAGATCTGCAGCAGGTGAGATCAGATCATGAACGGCAGGAGAACAAAGTGACACTAAACTCAGGAGTTAAATCTTAAAAATACATTCAAGAACCTTAACTATTAACAAAAATGTATCTTATTTGTGTATCACTCGGCTGTAGATCCTCAAATTATCTCTGAATTGGTGCTGACAGTGTCCTTCCTTCTGGAGGGTGGCTACTTTTGTTCTCCATGGTCCCTGTGTGTGTTGGAAAGTAGCCACCGCTCCAAGCTTGCTGTCCTGAAGGACTACAATCTCATGTTTAGTTTACTAATCTGTATTGAGATTGTAGTCTATCACGGTATATCTGTCTATATACTCTGGCCAACAGCACACCTATATCATAACATGCAGTTATTACAATATATCCCGAATGCCATTTTACAGGACTCATAAGGCTAAGTTCACACAGGTGGCAAAGGGGTGGTAAAGACAGGCGGTTGATTCATATTTTAACCTTTACCTACTCTGTTTAAAATGAGAAAAAAAAAAACGTGGCTATGCATCCTTTTTAAAAGTTTGCTTTGCTACCACGTCTGGAAACTTTAGGTAAACCTAGCAACAGAATGAAAGGAAAAGGGTTAAAAGAGCTGTTTAGAGGAATCACAAGACTCCCTCCTGCTCAGGTACCATGTGACTTCCTCATTTTTATCAGCAAGCTTCTGATGGTTTAGTGTATTTAATGGAACTGCACCCTCCTACCCTTTACAGCCAAGGAAGGTGCCATCTTAGCCTTTATTTGCATTGCAGTTGCCACAGTGCTGCGCATGTAATCAGCTATGGTACCAGTTATTTGAGGGCTTGAAAGTTGAGAGCTGAGAAAAGCACACAACAGTTGCCATGCCTTAAAAGTAACTGTTTTGGGAAAAATTAACTTGGTGGGTCAGGTTCGGCTTTAATCACCACCCATAGTCATGCTAGGCACAACACATCTTTGTCTCAAACTCTTCCCAGTGCTGTACTGCGCTCACATGCATTGCTGACATGCTTTATACTTGGAATGTCTGTCTGCAGCCTGTTGATTGGCCTTCTGTTTCTGAAGTTTATAAGAGTCTGTGCTGTGCAGAACTGGGAAGCAGCTTTGCTGGCTAGGCTGCAATGTGGAAATTGTTTGAGGAACTATAGTTTATACAAACATAACCTATCACAAACATGGGGCTAAAGGTGCAGCTAAAGACAATGTACTAAAAGACCACTTCTCCTATCAAATGAAATGGGAAATGTAAACATAAAGACATAATTCTACCTCCTGGCATTGTAATTTTAGCCTTTGCAATAATAATGTAATGCCATTACCCCATCCAGGACTTCTCCAGAGCCTCTTCCATCCTCTAAAACTCCCAACCCTAATCTGTACAGCTATCTCCTACTCTGTCTGCCTTTAGGCAATCTCTGAAAACTCATCTCTTCAGGGAAGCCTATCCCATGTCTACCTAACAACTGAAATTTGACTATCTCAAACAATTCATCCCGACACAGATACTACTTTTGTATCACTTGCCGCTCCCATTTAGATTGTAAGTTCTCACGAGTAGATCCCTCCTAACCATCTTGTCTTGAATTATGTTGCAACAGTACTGTCTTCCTTTATTTTGTTAAGTGCTGTGCAAACTGTCAGCACTATATTAAATCCTGTATAATATTAATAGTGTCAAAGGGGTGAAACCCTCGGCAAAGGGTGTCTATGGCAGCATGTCCACTAAATACAGCCACGTGCAGTGTAGCACGCTATCGCTATATTCCCTGTGTAGGATGTTGTGTATAAGCTTTACGTCTCCTGCAGGCTCTCCTGAAGCAGCAGCAGAGGGACAAGGAGCAGGGAGTCACTATTCTTGAGCTACAGGAAAGAGTGAAGATACTGCAAGGTGACAAGACGCAGATGGGGATTGACAAACAGGACATGCAACACTCTACAGTCCTTCTGGAGAAAGGCAACAGCAATCTGAGAAATGCATTGGAAAAGGTCAGTGTGGGAATGGGACAATATTTTCCAGCATAGAAGGGTGTACTGGAAGTGTGTAAAACTGTGTCTTACCTAACCACAATACAAAGCAGTAACATCAACCTTTCAAAAACTGAGCTCATGATATTTCCTCCCACCTGTGCACCTTCCCCCAACCTTTCCCTTGAGATTGTTAACACAACTATCCAGCCTTCCCCCCATGCCAAGGTCCTAGGTGTCATCCTTGACTCAGACCTCACCTTTCTTCCCCACATCCAATCACTATCCAATCCTGCCGCCTTCACCTTCGTAACATCTCCAAAATACGCCCCTTCCTCACCAATGAAACCGCAAAATTACTCATCCCCTCCCTTGTTATCTCTCGTTTGGACTATTGATTTTCCAATATTGATTTTCTATGTACACATATATAAACACAGGAAAAATAAAACAGTCCAATCAGTAAATCAGTACTGCCATTAGAACTTCCATGCATTCCCCATAAAGGGGTTCACATTCAAAAAGTTATTGTACTCAAATAATTAGATTATAATGAGAGCTCTCTGAAAGAGTTTCTTTACTGCTTCTGATACTTGTGTGCTTTATAAGACACTCAAATATAACATATTGTTTGAGACCTACACCCTGAACCCCTACCCCTCCCCCTTTAACAAACATTGAGCATTCTTTAAAATAAAATGTAAATCTTTTTTTTCACATGGCCCAGCCCCTCACCGCCATTCTCAACACGGCAAGAATGATGTATCGTTCTTCTCCTGCAGCCTCTTGGAAAACCAAGGTCACAGAAGGCTGCAGGAGGATAATTCTTACCATTCATGTAAACAGACCCAACTCAGATCTCATACATGCACACACAGAGATCTGGTATCAGGTCGATTTACTTACTGATCTATGGATGGAGGATAATAATGACTCCTTGTATATGTGACAAGCAAAACGAATGGCAAACCACTTATCGATTCATACCCCCCTTTAAAGCAAGGTGCATATGAAAGGGTTTTAAACAACACAACAGCAAAAAGGTTCCTAGCACACTCACCAGCCAGCCTGCAAAATAACAATATACACTGTCTAACTACTAAGGTTAAAAAACACGTCTTCTGTTGCACGTCATCTGCAGAATATGTGGAAGCTGCGCTGAATCGTCAAGGTACCTCTTTGTAGTGTGGTCCTAACTCTAATATCTGAGAGCCTCCATTTTGGAGCATATATAGCAAAGGATGAATTGGGTGCAGATTCGCCAGGTGGCAGCCCAACCTCCTTAAAGGCACATGGACACACAAGAAATCCCGCACCTCACAACGACAGCTGAAGCCCCCAGTGTGACCCTATGCCAAATACAACAAGCAAAACGAATGGCAAACATATGCAACGTCACATATCCCAGGGGACATTGTTATCCTCCATTCAAAGAACCGTGCACATGCACAAGATATGGCACTGCTTCATTGGGTGGCTGGATGAAAAAGCAGGAAGAGAAAGCCGACTCCCCATGACGCCAAAATGCAAGATGGCAGCATGGGACAGGACCTGTGGGAGGACAGCAGAGCAAGAGGAGAAGACAACGTTGGATCTGTTTTGCTTGTAAATATGTGATTACAGCATAAGAAGAGCATTAAAGGTAAGTGGGGGGTGTGAAATAATTTGGGATGGTGAAGTTTGAACCCTTTCACACTGACTCCAATCTGCCTTTTATGTGGACACCAGATGTTTCTTCTCTGCATGTATGTAAAATAATGTGTTCATTTTATCATGCTTCCAGATATCCTAAATGGAAAAATAGGCATTCAAAGAACAGAAACATTCTAGATATACAGATAGATTTTTTTTTCTGTATAAATGATGTACAAAACGATAATTTATAAATTTGATTTCCAATCCTGCATTTCTTCCAACCCCTATGTTATGATGATTCGTGTCTTTAGTCAAACACACTCCTGTTGAAAGATCATTCTCTCTTTTCTTTCATATGTACACTTAGATATCCATCAAATTCTGAGATCAAGCTGCTCTTTCCTTTACATCCCTTGTTCTCTTCTTTTATCTGCTGCTTCAGCCTCTGGCATCCATAATAACAAGGACAAATACTGCTTCTCATGGAATGACTAAACAGAAACATCAGAGCTGGGATACTGGAGTGGCTTCTGTTAAGATCATACACCAGTTCTTTTATCGTTGTTGTCACTTGCTTGGGGGGATCAAGATATTCTGATTTGTGTCTCCTACAGGTGAAACGTGAGCAGCTGCGTTTGGAGGAGGAAGTACAACGCTTCAACATAGAAAAGGAGCAAATAAACCAGTTGGTTATTTCCCTAAGAAAAGATCTTGCAGAAACTCAGAGACAAAATCAGTACCTGGAGGTAACATCCTGCTGCATAGTTGGGTCCTGACTAACGTTGGCCCTACGGACCAAGATATTGCATGACATAACACATGGGAGGAGATATCCTATGATCATTCATGTGCTATAAACAATGAGATTGTAGTACGATTGTACAACCGGCCCATTGTTAATGTAATGTAAATAATTGGAACAAGAGATCAGAGGTAGAAAAACTCATCATTTTCTGGTCGTATCACATACCAATACTGTGTCCTGAGCAGTGGGGAGATCCTGAATAGTGAATATCTTTGTTGAGATATCAGGAGACAAACAGATCCCTTAATGTACAGCAAGCTTAATAGTGGTTATTTTCAACAGTGTTATTGTGTCCATGACACTCTGCAGGTAAAATAGTATTATTTCCATTGTCTATGAACAGGCTCAGATAACAGATCTGGAACGAGCTCACTCTCAGAGACTGATGGAAGTGAGTATGAGACATCGGCAGGAGCTGGACACAGAGAGCGAGAGGCTTCGCATTACTCAACAACAAGGAGAGATCACACTGGAGAACAGAGAGAGAGCACACAGGCAGAGGATCAGAGGCCTGGAGGAACAGGTAAACCAGCAGGGCTGTTTTCTACCGGAGGCATATAACTGTGTAGATGAAAACCTTGCTGTCCAATACATTCTGACAGTCGTAGATGACAAGCAGATGTGTTTTGTGCTGCAATGGATCTTCTAGGGTGGAGAATTTCAGCCAATCCTGCATAGTCTCTGTTGTTAACAAAAAAGATAATCGTACTCTGCATGTTGAAACACATGTATGTTCCCATATAAGTGTGTGAGGGTATATTACAGTTTATTAAAGGAAAGAAAAAGGCCATCAGGGTAAGAAGATAAGGTGGACCATTTAATCAAAATGTGTTTGAGGTTAGAGGACAAACAATAATATATATCTTTGTGATTAAACAAAGTATATGATTTAAAATACCATAACAGACGCATGCAATTACTTTAAAGGATGAATGTATTTCAGAAAGAAAAAAACTGACCTATCCCACCCTCCTGTTGCCTTCATCAAAAATGTTCACAAACTTACAAACCCCAGATGTAAACTTATGGCAAGTTTATTGGCACATACTGCCCAGATCTGCATCAATATTTACATCCTGCAGCTTTACTTTTTTCCTTCCTGTCTTCTTGTATAATATAGGAAAGGAACCAGATTACCTAATCTTTCAGAAACATATCATAGCAAGTCTATCCTAAACCAAGGAATCCATTAGATTGATACAAGTTAAATTCAACCAAAACTTTTTATTTAGCTTTGAATATAGTGGGGAAGAATTTGAACCCCTGTCAGTTCTTTACTGCTGTCTGAGACTCAGACTCTGATTAGAAAAGCTAAGCGTGACTGTATTAATCCAAACACAGGTAAACACAGCTGAACTTGCTTTAAAGCAGGAACTTCTAAATGCAGGAACAAGTAACTTGGGAAGCATAAAAGTTGTTTATCCTTCCCAGAAAACGTCTGGGAAGTTAAAAAAGCTAAATGCAGGAGTGCAAATGTGAATGAGTGCTTAAGATAATGTGATGGGCAACAGTTAAGATGTAGCTAAAAAGATTCTATTTAGTTGAGGAAATGTTGTATCAGCAGTAATGTTATGTTTGCAATCCTAATTCTGTTCTTTCAGTATCTCTCAAACCCATTCTCAAGCGATAGTTCATGGTTTGTGACCATTTCCACCTAGATTTCATTGCATGCAAAATATAAGGGTGTATTTATAAACAGTTCTCAGAGCCATTCACCCTGCAAATCTCTGTGAACATTCGTTCTGTGCAGAGAGGCAAAAATGAGCGTTCTTATTATATTTTCTTTTCAGGTCGAATGACATGTAATACTGCATGATAATATAAGATATAGGCATCGAATGTCATGTAACACTGCATTATAATATAAGATATAGGCATCGAATATCATATAATACTGCATTATAATATAAGATATAGGCATCGGATGTCACGTAATACTGCATTATAATATAAGATATAGGCATCAAATGTCATGTAACACTGCATTATAATATAAGATATAGGCATCGAATGCCATGTAATACTGCATTATAATATAAGATATAGGCATCGAATAACATGTAACACTGCATTATAATATAAGATATAGGCATCGAATGTCATGTAACACTGCATTATAATATAAGATATAGGCATCGAATGTCATGTAACACTGCATTATAATATAAGATATAGGCATCGAATGCCATGTAATACTGCATTATAATATAAGATATAGGCATCGAATATCATGTAATACTGCATTATAACCACTAGATGGAGCTGTGCAGCATAGGAAATAAGTATTTATTTCCTAGTCTCCACCGCCCCATCTAGTGGTCATAATTCAGTATTACATTACATTCCTTTTGCCTCTGTTCACACAAAATGAACATTCAAAGAGATTCACAGGGCAAATAGCTGTGAGAATTGTTTAGACCCCATAAACTGTTGTTGGGACTTGAGGAGAGTTTTCTGAAGCACAGTTTTGATTTATCAAAGTTGTCTTTTTTACAGGGCTACACCAGTGTGCTCTCTTATGTCATTTAATTCTGATTTCCCTGTTGTAATGTCACTGTTTTACATCTGAATGTTGTGTAGTTTATGATTCTTCATGTTATCTTGCTTTTCTAAAGCATTTATTGATGTGTCCACTCTTAGCAGTGATATGTGTTCTCTTATATTGGCCATAATCATGGCAAGTAATGACCCGCCTCCCGGCTTCCTGATTGGCTGGGAAGCCAGCTCAATACTGATTGGCTGGAAAGCCGGCTTCCCAGCCAATCAGCATCAAGCTGGCTGTTCGGCCAATCACGAAGTCAGAAGGTGGGCCATTACTCGCCACCCGGCTTCCTGATTGCCCAGAAAGCCGGCTCTATGTTCCCCTATGGCACATTTTTCTCTGACTGGAAGTTCCGGTATCGGGGAAGGCATTGGAGCATTTTGGCAAGTACGAGTGCTCGTCCAAATACTCTGTATCGGCACTGATCCTAGTATCGGTATCGGTGCATCCCTAATTCTGACCTTATAAACATTAATATTGCAGTGTGAATCTATACATACTTAAGTTGTTTCCTTTTCATTTGGTAGGTGAGCACTCTACAGGAGCAGATGGAGCAGGAGTTGAAACGTAGACAAGAAGCCTTACGTTCCGCTCATTAGCCTGGCAGAGAAGACCATAACCCGTCCTGTTCTGGAGCTGCATACTGAAACTACCTGTATCTAAATGAGTTCATGACAATCTTATGTAAAGAGGGAAGTCAAGGAACCTAAGTTTATTGTTTATATAAATATAAACAAGTTACTCATTAGAGGAAATCTGTACTAAGACAAATATGGAGCTGCCATTGCTGACCTTTCCTTCTGAAAATGTTAGTTTCCGGACTGTCATACTGATATGCGTTTGTCCACGACTCAAAAAGCATATCAGAAACTTTGACTTTGTTGTGAGTTTGCTTGCTGCATGCTTGTTCTATCTTAGTATAGCCAGGCAGCCATCATTTACAGAAGGAGGTCGCCAATGGTATCCTTCATATTTTTCTTAGTACAGCTTTCTTTTAACCTCGCAATGTGTCACTGAGACTCTTGTGTTTGTATCAGCTACAACAACATAAATGTGAATTATTCTTTTCTATTATAAAACTTTTTGTACTGTGACTAGAGTCATAAATAGATGGGGAGGGTGTTTCCTTGTGTGGTGGGTTAGGCATCACATGAAAGAAAGTATAATTTATAACCAGAGATAAAGTGTTAACTTCTTTATTTGATGTTCCCTTTCAAATTGCTGGAGTTTCCGTGGACCTTTTGACTCTGAAAGAACTATTAAATTGTACGATAAAGACAACACAGTAGTGGTAGATCAACAATACATTATAACCACAATACAGTTGTATTTGTAGAATGCTTTGAACACATAACCCCTATCTTATCATCAAAGTTTTTATATACTGCGTTAGTTCAGAAGATATCACCGCTGTCAGTATTGTCTACGACTTTGAAAAAGAGATGGTTTGCCTGGGGAAAACTTTATGATGGAATGGGAGAGGGATTTGAGCCAGGTATTCTTGGAGGAAGAATGGATTTTTAGAAGAATGCTTAGGTTAACTCACGCTTTCTCAGTGTCTAACCAGGAGAAAAATGATAAGATAATCTCGCTTTGGTGTAGATGTATTACCATTCTGCACCACATGTTCCCCAGTTCCTCTGATATCTGCTGGCGATGCCACCAACAAAAGGAACATACTTTCACATGTGGTGGGGCTGTAGTAGAGTGCAGCCTTCCTGGCAAGGTGTATTTAGGGTTTACTGTGCCATGCAATCCTCATCCAGATTGCATTGTTATGTTACCCATCCGGGCTATCCCTATAAAATTCACTGCCTGAGGCAATGTCATTCTGGGGGGGTTGATTGTGGGGGTGGCAGAGGATCCAGGACCGCAGCACTGTCAGCGGCCCTGTCTGGCGTCCTGCCCAGCTCACTTTACGTCACTAGTTGCAGGAGCTTGGCGGGAAGCAGAGCTCTTGGCATCCCATGATGTCAATTAGCAGGACAGGACACCAGACAGAGCGTCACAGGTTGCAAAGTGCCCTTAGCAACCTGGAATGCTGTGGCCCCCTCTCTGCTGCCCCCTCCCACCACCCCCAATGAGATGCCGCCTGAGGCAGCCACCTCATTATGGGGACGGCCCTATTACCCATGCTCCCTGGCTCCTACAAATACATTATAGCAGCCATTCTCGGATTATGGTTATCTGCAGCCTGGGTGACAATACCCAGACTTTGGAAATAAACAGAGATTCTGAAATTATGAAAGAGATCATGCATATGGAAAGGCTGATAGTAGGTACCAACAATCACACAGACCCTTTCTGCCAGGTGTGGACATATTTCGCTCATATACTGCATTCGAATGTTTGCTGACCTCCTAGGACCTTTTCAGGACATAAAAGCAACAGAGAGTTCAAAACCATCTTCTCATCTTCCTAATAGATATGGCCTGTCCATCCCAAAAGTATACCTGCTTGACACCTAGATGACACCCCCCTTCCTTATTCTTCTGGCTCTCTAGATTTAGTATGCTTATCATCTATATACACTACATATTACACTACATTACATGTTTCATTAACATTTCACCCCTCCCTGACCTTCTTAGTCTTTCCCTTATTTACCTTATCCCATCCTATCTCACCATCTTGTTCCATGAAGCCTCCAGTATCTCTGTATTGGAGTTTCTGAATAACCATAGGACTCACACCCTGTTTATATCAAGACTTTATTACATTTTGGCACATGTTAAATGATATGTACACAGACTGTACATCTGAAACATAATAAGCATTTAATCAAAAAAAGTTCCTATATACCTTGAAAGTGGTGTGTATCTAGAGCATAAATAACTAAAATTTTCCCTCCAGAAAGGGGCAGATTCCTCTGTTGGTATGTGCAAGACTGCTTCTTGGCCTCCCTTGCTTACATTTTATACAACAGATGTCCAGGATTTCATACTGACTAGTAATAATACAACGGCATATTAATTATAGCTGTACCTTTACTACAGATCACACTAACCAAGGCTGTCTAGCTCTCCTGACTTATACTACACCAAAACCCTTCTATTCAGCTGCTTACTTAACTCAGTAGGGCAGTAGGGCAGTCGCACCCTGCTCCTCCTTTTCATTCTCTCTGGCCTAAATCTTCATCACTGTGGACTGTTCCTGCAAATGAAGCCTTGTTAGACTGGTTTAGGGCTTTCTTTTGGGTGTCTCCATTCTTAGAATAGAGCCCTATACAAGTCTATGAGGGCTCACTGCACAACTCTAGCCAGCCACAACAAGGATTTCAGATCCAGAGGATTATAACGAGGAGCAGGCCATGGCTGGAAGCTGCATAAGCCTCTTCACCAAAAGTCTCCAGGCTTCTGCTTTTCTGCTGCATATGTGAAAGAATCTCCATTCATTCTTATGGAAACAGATAAAACAGCCTTCCATATGAATAATATCAGATTCTACTGTCATACCGGTCAGTTTTGTTTACATTAGCTGGTGATTCCATTGGCGGTGTTGTTAAGCCGCAGGGGTAGCAAACCTCCAGCTGTGGTGAAACTACAAATCCCATGATGCATCTCTCTCCGGGAGTCATGTCTGTGGCTTTGAGAATCTTGCAATTCCTCATGGGATTTGTAGTTCCACCACAGGGCTGGAGGTTTGCTACCCCTGTGTTAAGGGAAAGGTAGATTTAAAAGGCTTTTAAATTGAGGCTTCCCTTAGGCAACAAATAAAAGGCCCATACAAGATGGCATTTGCTTTTATGATTCTCTTTCCAGTTTGTTCAAATAAATATAAGCATTCTTTATTTAAAAAGTCCATATGCCTCACCATCACAATAAAGAAACCTGTATTTACAAGAAAGCATCGTAAATAAGTGTAACACTGTATACCATGTTGTACCTGCTATTACTTTCACTATGCTCCCTGGAGATCCTGCCAGTGACAGCACTTCCTGTTGCAGGCTGACAATGCTAAGCTGAGGCTTTGCAACTAGTGGCAGGCTGCTACCAGTTGCAAAGCCTCAGCTTAGCATTGCATAGCAAAAGCTCCATCAGTTGGCCATTGGGCTGCTTATCAGGTCAATCAGATATAAAACCCAATGGCCAACTAAAACATCTCGTAGAGAAGGCTGACATACATCACTGCTACTAATTAAAAGGCAGTAACTAAGCATTGTCAGCCTGCAACAGGAAGTGCGGTTACTGGCAGGATCGTTGGGTAAGGAACTGCAACAGATTTACACAAAACACATTTTTTAAGAAAATTGTATCAATTGAGAAATTATGCCAAACATACTGAAAATAGATTAAGGGGGGTTTACATATGCTTTGAATAATTATATGGAGGCAGGGAGGGGGCTGCCCTAACTCACCCACCTAGCAAGCCTGCCGAGGAATCTATATCAGGGATAATCATACAAAAACATGCCTGTGGTCACCTGTGCTACTTTGTCACGTAGGGTGAAAGGTAAAATCAACAGAACTTCCGGGCAAAAGAAAACGTAACCCTTGCAGTGGGGCTACCGCCGTACTGCAAGGGTTAAGGGCTTGTTTTCGTCTAGGGTGTAAAATAACAAAGATATACTCACCTGATCTTCGGTCCCGCCCTGGCTGCTAGACGAGTCCCTTCGCTTTGGTGGTCTAAGAACCCATAAGTCCTCATCCAATAAAGTTTATTGGACATGAGGACGCCAAGGGGTATCCCATTGCTGCATCGGAGTCTAGCTGCCAGACGAGATCGGGTAAGTATATCTTTGTCATTTTACACCCTAGATAAATACGATTATTTAACCCTTGAGGTGCAGGGGTAGCCCCACTGCCAGGGTTAAGTCTTCTTCTGCCTACAGTTCTTCTTTAACTTCATATCCTCGAGTAGTTTATATGGATCTACATGCAGCTAGTTCTGGGAAGTAAACAATGTGTTGAGTAAAATACCGGCAAGCTCCTTTCATTGCCGGCCATAAAATGGTTAATCGGTAGAGACCTTTGTTGCTGGACATGGAATCATATTATAGACTAAACACGTGTGTGGCGGGAGGGTGTTTTATATACAGAATTGCTATTATGTATTTTCATTCATGTATTGTTTTCTTTTTATATCTGCAAGCGTTTTTATATCAATAAAACCTGTTTTCATACAAGACCATCTTGTGGCTTCAGATGTGTGTGTGTGAGCTGAGAAAGGTAAGACGCAGCAAGAGAACAGAACTTGTACTGGTGTTATGACTGCTTTTGTTGTAGAGAGGGATTCAGGGCGCATTCACACCACATGCAGATCATCTCCAGACCACACTAGATTGTTTCCGGACCCAAATTGTATCCTAATGTTTCCCTATGCTGTTTCTGGTTTACACCAGCACAGTCCGTACCAGACCAGATAAATACTGCATGTCTCATTTTGTCTGGTCCGGAATGCACTGGAACTGCAGACAGGTTCACACCATTTTCTTGACCAGATCTGAAATGCACTACGTTGCATTTTGATGTGTTTTTGACACGTTCGAATTTAGGTCTTGCTGGGGGACCTCTGCAAGACCTACAGATAGCCAGGAAAAGAGCAGCACAATGCTTGCGCATAAGAGACATGAACTTACCACAGATGTTCTTTTCAGAGCTGCTTAGATGATCATAGCCAGGGACAACCTTGGCAGCAACGCCTCCCCACTTGTCCATCTTCCTATTATTGTTCTTATATTACCCATGCCTCGGATCATACAGCACTGGGCAGGCTTCCACAAGTTCTACAAAGAATTCAGTGTCCA